TCCTTTACATCCTGTTTCCGTTCCACCAGTGCTTTGTGAGATGAAACCCCTGGCTCTGGACATGAAACGCTCGCCCAGGCTGCACTTTGACGAGAGTGAGTATGAGATGAAACGCCAGTTTCGAGAGCTGGAGGCGGAACAGTTTCATCTGGTGCGCTCTTTGCGCACCTCCCTCTCCCAGTCACCCTCGCCCGGCATTCAGTGTGTTCCGGATGAAAAACAGCCTAAGATTGGAGTGAGTACACGAAGTGCCGCTCCTGCTGCTTCTGGGTCTCCTGCTGCCACCATCGCTACGACTGCTGCTACTTCGGCTCCTGCTGATCTTCGTGCCGCTATTACCTCTCCTGCTCCTGTTGCTGCTCCTCCTGCCCCTGGCGCTCCTGCTGCTGCTGCTCCTGCTGCTGCTGCTCCTGCTGCTGCTGCTGCTACTGCTGCTGCTCCTTCTGGTGTTGTTCTTGCTCCTGCTGCTGCTCCTGCCGCTGCCCCTGCTGCAGCGCCAGCAGCAAGTCAGCCCGGGGCAGTGAGGCACAATGGAGCGGCGAGGCAGCCTGAGGGTGTGTCTGCTTCGGAGGATCCTAAACAATCGAGGCAGTGTGCGGGTCTGCCTGCCATTCGGGTGCAGCGGCGGCGAGCAGCTGATGTGCTGCGCCCTGCTGGGGCCGGCGAGAGGTGCAGCAGGGAGCGGGCAGGTAATGCCCCCCTTGGAAGTGCCTTCCCCTTATTGACGCCTGTGCAGCTGCTGTCGCCCCTGGCTCACTCCCCGTACCCCCCCTTCTCTCCTGGGTGGGAACCGGACGCCCTTGTATTGCAGTCGTCTGCTGCCCTTCCACCCTCAACCAATGCCGAACTGCCTTCAGCTGCCGAGGGGAATGATGAAGGTGCTGCTGCAACAGCGGCTGCACCAGCGGCTGCACCAGCGGCTGCAACAGCCGTTGCAGAAGGGTTGGAAGGGACGGATACTGCAGCAGCAGAAGGAGCCGAAGGAGCAGCAGCAGGAGCCGAAGGAGTAGCAGCAGGAGCCGAAGGAGCAGCAGCAGGAGCCGAAGGAGCAGCAGCAGGAGCCGAAGGAGCAGCAGCAGGAGCCGAAGGAGCAGCAGCAGGAGCCGAAGGAGCAGCAGCAGGAACAGCAGCAGCTGTAGCAGCAGCAGTTGGCGGCACTGGTACAACCAGAGGCATGCTGGCAGATGTTAAGCGAGTGCCGGCCTGCAGGATGCTAGCAGCAGACAGAGTAGCAACCGGAACTACAGCCTTCTTATCTGCTGACGTACCCTTATCAGCCGTTATCCCAACCTCAGCTGCTATCCCCTCCTCCTCCTATGCCCCTGCTTTTGATACCACCGCTTTGCCTACGCCCATGTCTCTGTGTGTGCGCGCTCTAGTGGCTGACGGGGCGACAGGTGGCGGCACGGGATTGGGACTGGTGGGTGCTCTGCACAACGACCTGCCACAGCAGCTGGAGCGGTGTGGCTTCGATGTTGTCACGGCGGGTACAGTCACTGAGGCTGTGGAACGATTCAAACAGTCCGTGTGCGAGTTGTCACCCAATGGGAGAGTGCCACAGGGCAACGGGTTTGAAGAGAGCAATGGGAGTGCAGGAAGCAAGCAGCAGGGCGGTACGGGCAGGCAGCAGGTGGATGTTGGCGTGCAGCGGCCCCTGGAAGCTTCCAGAGACGAGTCGTCCCTGACTGATCAGGGACCTGCATTAGGAGAAGAGGGTGTGGTACCACCAAGTGACAGGGCTATGGCAGCGGATGAGAATGCGCGGGAGGCTGGAGTGACGCCAGAAGCACCCTTCTCCCTTGTAGTCATGGAATTAGAGGTGAGCCTTGCTTGCTGCATGTTGTCCACGTGTGTGTGTGTGCCTTGCGGCTTGCGGCTTGTGTCTTACGCCATGTGTACCGCACACATGATGAGTCCTTTCTCGGGTGCTTTAAGAATTGAACTCTCACGTACTTCACTGTTCTGAGAATCCCAACAAACTCTTTGGGCTTTCCTTGTGCTGATGAACAGGCCATGGCGCATGATGGCTTCGCCTGCATCCGCAGCATTCGCGATGCGGAGGGGAGAGGGCAAGGAGGGAAGGCCAGGAATGGGGAAGAATGTGCTGTGGCTGATGCTGATGCTGATGCCGATGGTAACCAGTTCCCAGGGCCCGCTGTTGCTGAGCCTGATGCTGGTGGTTGTTCAGGTGGTGCTGAGGCGAACACAGAACTATCAGCAGTAGCAGCAGCAGCAGCAGCAGCAGCAATCAACGGCCCAGAAGAAGCAGCAGCATTTGCAGGAGCAGCTGGAGTGGTTGCTTCTGATTCACTACGGGACAGTTCAGGGAGTGCGTATCCTGTTTCACGTACGGTCGTGATAGCGGTGGCGAATATGAACAGGTGGGATTTGGCGGGGTTGGACCAAGCCATGCAGCAGTGCATGCATGCGGGCGTCGATGCGGTGGTTCCTCGCACAATGAACCTCCAGCAGTTAAAGTCGGTGCTCAGAAAGCTGGGAGTGAGGGGCAAGTACGTGTTGGTCCCTAATTCCCTGCCTCGTGCCATGTCTGGCACTGTGCATAATCCCCTTAATTTGTCTAGGTAACGTGCAAAACATTGTATTTGCATGTTAATATATTTGTAAGCTGATTGTAACAATGGAATTTCTAACATCAGGTGAAAAGGCAGGTATTTATCCAGTTGCTTGTACTGGCAGGTTGTTCCGTCAACCCAATTGACGGCCGTCGCTGCGCGCCACACGTGTCCTCTTTTTTTTTTTTTTTTTTTTTTGACATATACATTTATGAGGACAATGCATACATCAAAAGCAGTCGTAACTGAGCGTGAGGTCACTGCACCATGCACTGCCCAGTAATGCATCTAGGGCGGCAGGAACGCCCGCTTTGGCTTGTTCCAGATAGCAGCGAAGTTTGTCGACCACTTCCATTTTTTGTCACCTGTCTCCCTTATCCTCGCCAGCATTTTTTGCTCCGCTTCGAAAACACTCCTGACCCGTTTTCCCTTCCCTGATGTCCCTGGCCGCAAGCTTTTGGCACCCATTGCTCTCGTGTACACTCTCGCGTGTAGCCTAAAAGCCGACCCAATCCTCCTGAGAACCCTCCGGGCTCTGAATTTCTGCCCTCGGAAAGTTGCTTCACATCTCTCCACCCACAGCTGATGAAAAGTAATCGATGTGAGGGTAGCCTCCGGGAAATCCGACGCCGTTCCGGTTTCCTGGAACAAGAGGTCCCCCAGCGAGGCAGTTGTCCTCCCTGGATTGAGCATGCGCAGAGCACGACGGAGCCCTGAGACAACTGGCTGAATTCTCGGGCAGGAGAAAAGACAGTGTTCGTGCGTTTCCTCCACACGTGTCCTCTGGCGAGGCGACGCATCTGTTCCACCTTTGACGACAGGCGTGAAACTGGGACTGTGGGCCGTTTGTCGGGGCTTGTCCTTGATAGAAGCCCTCAGGTTTTGCTAATATCGAATTTTTTATACGTGCAGTACAGTGCTATGTGCGAGTGGGAGTGAATCGCCTATGGCTGTAATTAATATACTGTACCATCGAGTTTTCAAGACAGTCCAGACAGATACGGTTGCCTGTCAGACTGTCGCCATAGCCAAAGCTTGCTATTTGGGACCAAAACCAGGGTCATAACATAACCAAAACCAAGCTGGAGTAATTTCACAGCTCGGAGTACCTCGTGTGCTGTCAAGCCAACTGCCAGGCGTCGCTTAAAGCGACGGGCAACTTTTGGCAGTGTTGGGTTCAGAAGTTTTTTTTTTGAACCAGGCTTGCCAGCGCGAAAGTGCTGGCTGGCGAAAACCAGGATTTCGTGCGGACACTTTCCATCCGCAGTAACAGTTCGCCAGGGTTCTGGGTTTTGGGTGGCAAATGTGCACCGTCGCTTTAAAACCAGGGTGCACATTCAACGCGGTTCGGCTTGAGATGTTGGGAAGGGGGTTTGGAGAAAAACAGTGATTGGCTCACGAGGGGCGACAAAAAAATGATTCCGCTAGAGCTTCGGGCATTTCGTAGGTGGCGGGAGGGGGTGAAATGGCGGGAGTGGGTGAAACCGAATGGCGGGAGGGATGAAACAGATTGGCGGGAGGGGGGGGAATCGAATTTCGACGGGGAGGGGGAAATGAAATTGCGGGGGCGTGGGGAAACGAAATTGCGGGGGAGGGGGGAAACGAATTTCGACTTGAAGGGGTTGAAAGCACACCTCGTAACCCACTCAGTCAAGGGATAACCTTTGATGCACATTCAGCTGAATGTGCACATTCAGATTCCAAGCCAGCACGAGCCTTAAAGCTAGGAGCGGGTGCAGGGCGAAGGATGACCGACTCGGAATAGAATCCCAGCGGAGGGCCTGTCTCCTCCTGTCAGGTTTTGTTTCCGAGAGAGGGAAGTACGATTTCGGTCCATTCCGTCAAACTCGTTGGCTGGGCTCGACAACGCGCCACGTGTCGGCGAGTCCGCATTTCGCGTATCGATACTCTCTTCTGAAGTTAGCGAATCAGATAGTCTGCGTTCCTCGACGGTTTTACTCAACTGATTCAAACCATTCTGACTCAAAATGCAACCCATGACAGTTAGACGATGACAGTCTTATTTATTCTCGTTACCTAGTTTTAGAATGCCTCGATAGCTTGTGTTACATGGGTAACCAGGTCAGTGTGATCGACGCGTTAGTCAACGCGGAGTTTCCACCAATCAACGACACTGGTTCTAATAACCTAGTAACGAAACCAGCAGTATCGGGGATTACCAACTCCAAAAGCAGCAGCAGCGTCAGCACCTTATCCGTTACCAACACTAGCAGCAGCGGCAGCAGCAGCAGCAATGGCGGTGGTAGCAGCAACGCTACGAGCAGCAGCACGGGCACCAGCAATGGCAGCGACATTGGTGGCGTATGCAGCTGCAGCGTTACCAGCACCGCCGAAAGCGGCGGTGGTGGCGGCGCCAGTGGCGGAGGTGGAGTGAGGAGCATCGCGTGCAGCGATCTCAGCCGTCCGATGGGCATCTTGGCGTTCGAGGTGGCAGGGCTGATGCACCGGGTCCTGGATCTCTGGAGCCAATTGGAGCCCGGACACGTGGCAGAGCTGAGGCAGCAGCTGCAGGTGCGTGGTCGCGGATGGATGGAGCTTCAGGCGTGTTCCACAACACTTGTGGGACCTTTGTGTCGACTCAAGTTCACCTCGTGTTACAATACTTGGAAAACCACGGAGGGTTTCTGTTCCTGAGGAGCCTTCAAATCGGACCTTGCTGATGTGTTTGTGTGACTTGTCTTTGCGTGTGTCTGTGTGCGTGTGTGCCGTGTGCCCTGCCGTGCATATGGGTGGGGGCAGAGTGAGAACCTGGAGCGGCTGGGAGTGGGCGATTTCACCTTCCGGTGGCGCATGGCAGGTGAGGCAAATCAAGGGTTGGGAGCTTTGCTTATGGTTACTAAGGGGTTTGGTCAGCAGTCAAAACGGAGGGGGCATTTTCCAGCAAAGCTGCTGCTGCTGACAGCTGGCGTAGAGGCACTGACCCTACGCTCACCCTTTTGTCCCCTCCGTTCCCCCACCTCCACCCCCTCCCACCCATCCCCACCCATTCACACCCATTCACAGGCCTGGAGTATTCCAACGAGCTGCTGCTGCTGACAGCTGGCGTGGCGGCATTGGCTCGGCAGAGTGGGGGGGCGGTGGGGGGGCAGGTGCAGCAGGTGCTGCGGGCGCATGCGAGGAGGCGGGAGAAGAGAGAGAAGGCCGGGGGGAAGGCAGAGGCGGATGAAGTGATGAGGTGAGGAAAGGGGGAGAAGGGGGGGGGTGCGGGGGAGGGGGGGAAGGTGGGGAAGGGGGGGGGAAGGGGGGGAAGGGGGAGCAAGGGGGGGTAAAGGGGAGAAGGGGGGGTAAAGGGGAAAGTGAATGTTGGGGGGGCGGTGTGGGGTCAGGTGCAGCAGGTGCTGAGGGCGCATGCAAGGAGGAGGGAGGAGAGAGAAAAGGTTGTGGGGAAGGCAGAGACGGATGAAGTGATGAGGTGAGGAAAGGGGGAGAAGGGGGGGAAGGGGGGGGAATGGGAGCAGGGCGGGTAAAGGGGGAGAAGGCCGGGTGAAGGGGAAAGTGGGTGTTGGGGGGCAGAGTTAGGCTGGGATGGGGGCCCAACCCAAGGCAGCAGGTGCAGCACGTGCTGAGAGCGCATGCAAGGAGGGAGGAGGGAGGAGAGAGAGAAGGCCGTGGGGGAAGGCAGAGGCGGATGAAGTGATGAGGCGATGGCGAAAGGGTGGGGAGGAGTGGGGGGTTGCAGAGGGAGGCTTAAAGGCGGAACCACAGGGTACAAGGGCGAACTTATGGGTTTGCTCATAGTTTTCAACTTGCAAACGCGCATGTATCTGTGGGCATCTGTGTGTGTGTATGCACTTGTGTGTGTGCAAGTGCATGCGTGAGTGTACGTGCATGTTTGTGCGTGCGTCTGTGCATGTGCATGTGCATGTGCGTGTGCATGCACGAGCAGGTTTCTGCGAGACCATCTGGGGCCAACAGGCATTCTGAAGCGAGAAATGGAAGCACTGGATGAAGCCATTGCCAGGTGAGTTTGAAGGTGTGGCAAGGTGAGGTGAAGGGATTGAGAGGGGTTATGGAAGGTCGAGTCCTCTCAGAGTGCCCACGGGCATTCTGAAGCGAGAAATGGAGGCACAGGATGAAGCCATTGCCAGGTGGGTGGGGGTGAAGGTGTGGCGAGGTGAATGAGTTGAGTGGGGTCATGGCAGGTGGGGTTGGGGTCGTCTCAGACGGTCAACGACTCAACGGGCATGCTGAAGCGAGAGATGGAAGCACTGGATGAGGCCATTGCCAGGTGGGTGGGGGGGATCGACATAGCGTAGCGAGTAAGGGTGCTTTTCTTTTGTGGGTCCAGGTGCTGCTTGTACTACTCACACACATGTGAGTTACCCTGCGGCACATGTGAGTTACCCTGCGGCACCTGTGAGTTACCCTGCGGCACATGTGAGTTACCCTGCGGCACCTAATCCAAAGCTACAGTACTGTGGCCTTCCTTCCTCCTTCCATCACCCGCTACCTACCTGCTTGACCCTTCGTTCGCGCCTTCATAGTGCACTACTCCACACCCCCTGAAACCCCTCTGTTTCCTCGCGCTAACCCACCAAAAGCTTCCTTATCAGCAAACCCTCGCTCCCCCCTCACCCCCTCCTTACACTCCTGCACACCCCCCCCGCCTGAGCTCATCTGCTGCTTATCCCTTCTTGCCTTAACTTCCTCGCCAACCCCCCACTTTCCCCCCCTTTCTTCCCCCTTTTCCCCCACTTTCCCCCCCTTTCTTCCCCCTTTTCCCCCACTTTCCCCCCCTTTCTTCCCCCTTTTCCCCCACTTTCCCCCCCTTTCTTCCCCCTTTTCCCTCACTTTCCCCCCCTTTCTTCCCCCTTTTCCCCCACTTTCCCCTCCTTTCTTCCCCCTTTTCCCCCACTCTCCCCCCCTTTCTTCCCCCTTTTCCCCCACTTTCCCCCCCTTTCTTCCCCCTTTTCCCCCCCTTTCTTCCCCCTTTTCCCCCCCTTTCTTCCCCCTTTTCCCCCCCTTTCCCTCCCTTTTCCCCTCTTTCCCCACTTTCCCCCTACCCTTTTTTCCCCCTTTTCCCCCCTCCCCATCAGCACTTCATCTGACGGCGATGCATACTCGTTTGAGGATAAGCAGCCCACACAGATTATTTCTGATCACTGCTGTCCTTGTCTTGTCTTGTTCCCCCCCCCCCGGAACCCCCTCTCTGTGTCCTTGCCTCCCCATCAGCACGTCATCTGACGGCGATGCATACTCGTTTGAGGACATGCGGCCCACACAGACTTACCCTGAGGAGTACTTTGTGACCCAGGCAAGCACGTGACGCCATTGGGCGGCATTGGATGGCACTGGGTAGCATTGGATGGCATGGGATGGCATTGGATGGCATGGGATGGCATTGGATGGCGTGGGATGGCATTGGATGGCATGGGATGGCATTGGATGGCGTTGCGTGGCGTTTGGTGGCATTGGATGGCATTGATTGGCATTGAATGGTGCACAACAGCACACAGCATGCTATGCATCCAACATTGCTGCCCACCCACCCATGCCCACCCATGCCCACCCATGCCCACCCATGCCCACCCATGCCCACCCATGCCCACCCATGCCCACCCATGCCCACCCATGCCCACCCATGCCCACCCATGCCCACCCATATGCCCACCCATGCCCACCCATTGCCCACCCATGCCCCACCCATGCCCACCCATGCCCACCCATGCCCACCCATGCCCACCCATGCCCACCCATGCCCACCCATGCCCACCCATGCCCACCCATGCCCACCCATGCCACCCATGCCCACCCATGCCCACCCATGCCCACCATGCCACCCATGCCCACCCATGCCCACCCATGCCCCCCCATGCCCACCCATGCCCACCCATGCCCACCCATGCCCACCCATGCCCACCCATGCCCACCCATGCCCACCCATGCCACCCATGCCCACCCATGCCCACCCATGCCCACCCATGCCCACCCATGGCCCACCCATGCCCACCCATGCCCACCCATGCCCACCCATGCCCACCCATGCCCACCCATGCCCACCCATGCCCACCCATGCCCACCCATGCCCACCCATGCCCACCCATGCCCACCCATGCCCACCCATGCCCACCCATGCCCACCCATGCCCACCCATGCCCACCCATGCCCACCCATGCCCACCCATGCCCACCCATGCCCACCCATGCCCACCCATGCCCACCCATGCCCCCACCCATGCCCACCCATGCCCACCCATGCCCACCCATGCCCACCCATGCCCACCCATGCCCACCCATGCCCACCCATGCCCACCCACCCATGCCCACCCATGCCCACCCATGCCCACCCATGCCCACCCATGCCCACCCATGCCCACCCATGCCCACCCATGCCCACCCATGCCCACCCATGCCCACCCATGCCCACCCATGCCCACCCATGCCCACCCATGCCCACCCATGCCCACCCATGCCCACCCATGCCCACCCATGCCCACCCATGCCCACCCATGCCCACCCATGCCCACCCATGCCCCCCATGCCCACCCATGCCCACCCATGCCCACCCATGCCCACCCATGCCCACCCATGCCCACCCATGCCCACCCATGCCCACCATGCCCACCCATGCCCACCCATGCCCACCCATGCCCCCATGCCCACCCATGCCCACCCATGCCCACCCATGCCCACCCATGCCCACCCATGCCCACCCATGCCCACCCATGCCCACCCATGCCCACCCATGCCCACCCATGCCCACCCATGCCCACCCATGCCCACCCATGCCCACCCATGCCCACCCATGCCCACCCATGCCCACCCATGCCCACCCATGCCCACCCATGCCCACCCATGCCCACCCATGCCCACCCATGCCCACCCATGCCCACCCATGCCCACCCATGCCCACCCATGCCCACCCATGCCCACCCATGCCCACCCATGCCCACCCATGCCCACCCATGCCCACCCATGCCCACCCATGCCCACCCATGCCCACCCATGCCCACCCATGCCCACCCATGCCCACCCATGCCCACCCATGCCCACCCATGCCCACCCATGCCCACCCATGCCCACCCATGCCCACCCATGCCCACCCATGCCCCACCCATGCCCACCCATGCCCACCCATGCCCACCCATGCCCCACCCATGCCCACCCATGCCCACCCATGCCCACCCATGCCCACCCATGCCCACCCATGCCCACCCATGCCCACCCATGCCCACCCATGCCCCCCATGCCCACCCATGGCCCACCCATGCCCACCCATGCCCACCCATGCCCACCCATGCCCCCACCCCCATGCCCACCCATGCCCACCCATGCCCACCCATGCCCCCCCTACCCCATGCCCACCCATGCCCACCCATGCCACCATGCCCACCCATGCCCACCCATGCCACCCATGCCCACCCATGCCCACCCATGCCCACCCATGCCCACCCATGCCCACCCATGCCCACCCATGCCCACATGCCCACCCATGCCCCACCCATGCCCACCCATGCCCACCCATGCCCACCCATGCCCACCCATGCCCACCATGCCCACCATGCCCACCCATGCCCCCCATGCCCACCATGCCCAACCCATGCCCACCATGCCCACCCATGCCCACCCATGCCCACCCATGCCCACCCATGCCCACACCCATGCCCACCCATGCCCACCCATGCCCACCCATGCCCACCCATGCCCACCCATGCCCACCCATGCCCACCCATGCCCACCCATGCCCACCCATGCCCACCCATGCCCACCCATGCCCACCCATGCCCACCCATGCCCACCCATGCCCACCCATGCCCACCCATGCCCACCCATGCCCACCCATGCCCACCCATGCCCACCCATGCCCACCCATGCCCACCCATGCCCACCCATGCCCACCCATGCCCACCCATGCCCACCCATGCCCACCCATGCCCACCCATGCCCACCCATGCCCACCCATGCCCACCCATGCCCACCCATGCCCACCCATGCCCACCCATGCCCACCCATGCCCACCCATGCCCACCCATGCCCACCCATGCCCACCCATGCCCACCCATGCCCACCCATGCCCACCCATGCCCACCCATGCCCACCCATGCCCACCCATGCCCACCCATGCCCACCCATGCCCACCCATGCCCACCCATGCCCACCCATGCCCACCCATGCCCACCCATGCCCACCCATGCCCACCCATGCCCACCCATGCCCACCATGCCCACCCATGCCCACCCATGCCCACCCATGCCCACCCATGCCCACCCATGCCCCCACCCATGCCCACGCCAAGATGCCCACCCATGCCCACCCATGCCCACCCATGCCCACCCATGCCCACCCATTGCCCACCCATGCCCACCCATGCCCACCCATGCCCACCATGCCCACCATGCCCACCGCATGCCCACCCATTGCCCACCATGCCCACCCATGCCCACCCATGCCCACCCATGCCCCCCATGCCCACCCATGCCCACCCATGCCAACCCATGCCCACCATGCCCACCCATGCCAACCCATGCCCACCCATGCCCACCCATGCCCACCATGACCACCCATGACCACCCATGCCCACCCATGCCCACCCATGCCCACCCATGCCCACCCATGCCCACCCATGCCACCCATGCCCACCCATGCCCACCCATGCCCACCCATGCCACAGCACCATGCCCACCCATGCCCACCCATGCCCACCCATGCCCACCCATGCCCACACGATGCCCACCCATTGCCCACCCATGCACACCCATGCCCACCCATGCCACCCATGCCCACCATGCCCACCCATGCCCACCCATGCCCACCCATGCCCACCCATGCCCACCCATGCCCACCCATGCCCACCCATGCCCACCCATGACCACCCATGCCCACCCATGCCCACCCATGCCCACCCATGCCCACCCATGCCCACCCATTGCCCACCCATGCCCACCCATGCCCACCCATGCCCACCCATGCCCCACCCATGCCCACCCATGCCCACCCATGCCCACCCATGCCCACCCATGCCCACCCATGCCCACCCCATGCCCACCCATTGCCCACCCATGCCCACCCATGCCCACCCATTGCCCACCCATGCCCACCCATGCCCACCCATGCCACCCCATGCCCACCCATGCCCACCCATGCCCAACCCATGCCCACCCATGCCCACCCATGCCCAACCCATGCCCACCCATGCCCCACCCAGCCCACCCACGATGCCCACCCATGCCCACCCATGCCCCACCCATGCCCACCCATGCCCACCCATTGCCCAACCCATGCCCACCCATGCCCACCCATGCCACCCATGCCCACCCATGCCCACCCATGCCCACCCATGCCCACCCATGCCACCCATGCCCACCCATGCCCACCCATGCCCACCCATGCCCACCCATGCCCACCCATGCCCACCCATGCCCACCCATGCCCACCCATGCCCACCCATGCCCACCCATGCCCACCCATGCCCACCCATGCCCACCCATGCCCACCCATGCCCACCCATGCCCACCCATGCCCACCCATGCCCACCCATGCCCACCCATGCCCACCCATGCCCACCCATGCCCACCCATGCCCACCCATGCCCACCCATGCCCACCCATGCCCACCCATGCCCACCCATGCCCACCCATGCCCACCCATGCCCACCCATGCCCACCCATGCCCACCCATGCCCACCCATGCCCACCCATGCCCACCCATGCCCACCCATGCCCACCCATGCCCACCCATGCCCACCCATGCCCACCCATGCCCACCCATGCCCACCCATGCCCACCCATGCCCACCCATGCCCACCCATGCCCACCCATGCCCACCCATGCCCACCCATGCCCACCCATGCCCACCCATGCCCACCCATGCCCACCCATGCCCACCCATGCCCACCCATGCCCACCCATGCCCACCCATGCCCACCCATGCCCACCCATGCCCACCCATGCCCACCCATGCCCACCCATGCCCACCCATGCCCACCCATGCCCACCCATGCCCACCCATGCCCACCCATGCCCACCCATGCCCACCCATGCCCACCCATGCCCACCCATGCCCACCCATGCCCACCCATGCCCACCCATGCCCACCCATGCCCACCCATGCCCACCCATGCCCACCCATGCCCACCCATGCCCACCCATGCCCACCCATGCCCACCCATGCCCACCCATGCCCACCCATGCCCACCCATGCCCACCCATGCCCACCCATGCCCACCCATGCCCACCCATGCCCACCCATGCCCACCCATGCCCACCCATGCCCACCCATGCCCACCCATGCCCACCCATGCCCACCCATGCCCACCCATGCCCACCCATGCCCACCCATGCCCACCCATGCCCACCCATGCCCACCCATGCCCACCCATGCCCACCCATGCCCACCCCCACCCATGCCCACCCATGCCCACCCATGCCCACCCATGCCCACCCATGCCCACCCATGCCCACCCATGCCCACCCATGCCCACCCATGCCCACCCATGCCCACCCATGCCCACCCATGCCCACCCATGCCCACCCATGCCCACCCATGCCCACCCATGCCCACCCATGCCCACCCATGCCCACCCATGCCCACCCATGCCCACCCATGCCCACCCATGCCCACCCATGCCCACCCATGCCCACCCATGCCCACCCATGCCCACCCATGCCCACCCATGCCCACCCATGCCCACCCATGCCCACCCATGCCCACCCATGCCCACCCATGCCCACCCATGCCCACCCATGCCCACCCATGCCCACCCATGCCCACCCATGCCCACCCATGCCCACCCATGCCCACCCATGCCCACCCATGCCCACCCATGCCCACCCATGCCCACCCATGCCCATGCCCACCCATGCCCACCCATGCCCACCCATGCCCACCCATGCCCACCCATGCCCACCCATGCCCACCCATGCCCACCCATGCCCACCCATGCCCCACCCATGCCCACCCATGCCCACCCATGCCCACCCATGCCCACCCATGCCCACCCATGCCCACCCATGCCCACCCATGCCCACCCATGCCCACCCATGCCCACCCATGCCCACCCATGCCCACCCATGCCCACCCATGCCCACCCATGCCCACCCATGCCCACCCATGCCCACCCATGCCCACCCATGCCCACCCATGCCCACCCATGCCCACCCATGCCCACCCATGCCCACCCATGCCCACCCATGCCCACCCATGCCCACCCATGCCCACCCATGCCCACCCATGCCCACCCATGCCCACCCATGCCCACCCATGCCCACCCATGCCCACCCATGCCCACCCATGCCCACCCATGCCCACCCATGCCCACCCATGCCCACCCATGCCAACCCATGCCCACCCATGCCCACCCATGACCACCCATGCCAACCCATGCCCACCCATGCCCACCCATGCCCACCCATGACCACCCATGCCAACCCATGCCCACCCATGCCCACCCATGCCCACCCATGCCCACCCATGCCCACCCATGCCCACCCATGCCCACCCATGCCCACCCATGCCCACCCATGCCCACCCATGCCCACCCATGCCCACCCATGCCCACCCATGCCCACCCATGCCCACCCATGCCCACCCATGCCCACCCATGCCCACCCATGCCCACCCATGCCCACCCATGCCCACCCATGCCCACCCATGACCACCCATGCCCACCCATGCCCACCCATGCCCACCCATGCCCACCCATGACCACCCATGACCACCCATGCCCACCCATGCCCACCCATGCCCACCCATGCCCACCCATGCCCACCCATGCCCACCCATGCCCACCCATGCCCACCCATGCCCACCCATGCCCACCCATGCCCACCCATGCCCACCCATGCCCACCCATGCCCACCCATGCCCACCCATGCCCACCCATGCCCACCCATGCCCACCCATGCCCACCCATGCCCACCCATGCCCACCCATGCCCACCCATGCCCACCCATGCCCACCCATGCCCACCCATGCCCACCCATGCCCACCCATGCCCACCCATGCCCACCCATGCCCACCCATGCCCACCCATGCCCACCCATGCCCACCCATGCCCACCCATGCCCACCCATGCCCACCCATGCCCACCCATGCCCACCCATGCCCACCCATGCCAACCCATGCCAACCCATGCCCACCCATGCCCACCCATGACCACCCATGCCAACCCATGCCCACCCATGCCCACCCATGACCACCCATGACCACCCATGCCAACCCATGCCCACCCATGCCCACCCATGCCCACCCATGCCCACCCATGCCCACCCATGACCACCCATGCCCACCCATGCCCACCCATGCCCACCCATGCCCACCCATGCCCACCCATGCCCACCCATGCCCACCCATGCCCACCCATGCCCACCCATGCCCACCCATCCCACCCATGCCCCACCCATGCCCACCCATGCCCACCCATGCCCACCCATTGCCCACCCATGCCCACCCATGCCCACCCATGCCCACCCATGGCCCACCCATGCCCACCCATGCCCACCCATGCCCACCCATGCCCACCCATCCACCCATGCCCAACCATGCCCACCCTGCCACCCATGCCCCCATGCCACCCATGCCCACCCATGCCCACCCATGGCCCACCCATGCCCACCCATGCCCACCCTATGCCCACCCATGCCCACCCATGCCCACCCATGCCCACCCATGCCCACCCATGCCACCCCTGCCACCCATGCCCACCCATAGCCCACCCATGCCCACCCATGCCCACCCATGCCACACCATAGCCCACCCATGCCCACCCATGGCCCACCCATGCCCACCCATGACCACCCATGCCCACCCATGCCCACCCATGCCCACCCATGCCCACCCATGCCCACCCATGCCCACCCATGCCCACCCATGCCCACCCATGCCCACCCATGCCCAACCATGCTTATCCATGCGCACCCATGCCCAACCATGCCTACCCATTCGCACCCATGCCCAACCATGCTTATCCATGCGCAATCAAGTCCACCCATGCCCAACCATGCAGGGGCAGAAGGTGCAGCAGCTGCAGAGGAGCTCCCTGTGGTCGCACAGCCTCGAGAGAATGGCCAAGGTGGGCGATTCTACTCCCTCCCATTCTGCTGCCCTGCTCCATCCCTCTGCTTCCTCTGCTTCTGCTGCTCCGGCTGCTCCCTCCCGCTGCTTCCTCCCGCTGCTTCCTCCCGCTGCTCCCTCTGTTTGGGATTTTCCTAATCCATCCAATTTTCATCCCTGTCTGAATCGATGCCGCTCGCCTTTCAACAGACCCTGGCGGTGGCGGTCGGCATTCTTTGGCAGCATCTGAGGGAGGTGTATGGGTGGCCGGATCCCATAGGGCCAGACGACCTGGAGGGCACAGTGGGGCAGGCGGGGCTGCCCATGCTGTATGCGCGTGTGCTGGCTGCTGTCAGCCAGTTGGCTGTCACCATGCCCGGCACACCTGCTTTTACGGACAAGAGGTGAGCCAGCAGCATGGGTCGTTGTGTTGGGTTGGGTGGTTGGATCCCATATCATCCCCTCTCATGACCTGGAGGGCACGGTGGGGCAGGCGGGGCTGCCCATGCTGTACGTGCGTGTTTTAGCGGCTGTCAGCCAGTTGGCTGTTACCATGCCAGGGACCCCTGCTTTTACTGATAAGAGGTGAGTGAGAGGGTAACGCGGATCTTTCGGTGCCTTGTTATCCCCTCTTGTGACCTGGAGGGCACGGTGGGGCAGGCGGGGCTGCCCATGCTGTGTGCATGTGTGCTGGCTGCTGTGAGCCAACTCGCTGTAACCATGACCGGCAAACCCGCTTTCACCGACAAGAGGTGAGCCTGTAGCATGGGTCGTTGGATCGCCCATATTATTCCCCCGGACACCTGGAGAGCACGGTCAGGCAAGCGGGGCTGCCCTGCCCAGCCCATGCTGTATGTGCGTGTGCTGGCTGCTGTCAGTCAGCTGGCTGTCACCATGCCTGGCACACCCGCTTTCACCTACAAGAGCTGAGCGGAAAGGCAGTAGTTGGATCCCGTATTATCCGCTTTGGTGACCTGGAGGGCACGGTGGGGCAGGCGGGGCTGCCCATGCTGTACGCGCGTGTGCTGGCGGCTGCCACCATGCCCGGCACACCTGGTTTCGCAAACAAGTGGTTCGATCTCCAAGAAGCACCCTCAGGTCGTCTCTTCCCGTCCACCTCCCACGCTCCGCCCTCTCTCCCTTCCCCCAAACACCCACCCAGGAAGGACCTCTATCTCATACTCCCCACATTCATTCGCCACCAGCTGCACTCCCGCCTGCGTGTCTCCCGGCGCCGCCCGCTGGACGAGGTGCTGCTGGGGGAGCTGCGCCAGCTGGCAGCGCAGATGTTCTGCTGGCTCATGCCCTTCTCTCAAGCCACGCTGCAGTGGGTCAACGATCGCTCTCACAGTGCCAGGGTGGCGGGGCGACAGAGAGTGCTGCTCGTGCAGGTAGGTGTGCGCATAGGAGGGACATGGGAGGGGCCACAGGTGGCCAGCTGGCAGCGCAGATGTTCTGCTGGCTCATGCCCTTCAGCCAGGCCACCCTGCAGTGGGTCAATGATCGCTCTCACAGTGCCAGGGTGGCGGGGCGACAGCGCGTGCTGCTGGTGCAGGTGGGTTGTTCTCTGCTGCTGGTGGGTTTCCTACCGTTGCAGACCTTCCATTTCACCAACAAGGTTTTGTTTTTTCTTTCCTCGCATAACGCCTCCTCTCTTTCCCTCCACTCCCTCTGCTCCCGCTGCAGACCCTCCATTTTGCCAACAAGGAATCGTGTCAAACCCATTCTCATCAAGCTCCTCTTCCCACCCCTCCTCTCTTCCTATTCTCCTTCCTCCGCTTCTGTCATCTCTCTCTCTTCCCCTGCACCCCCCACCGCAGACCCTCCATTTCGCCAACAAGGATCGGTTCGAGGCCATTCTAATCGAGCTGCTCTCCTCGCTCTCTCTCGTCATCGCTGCTTCCACCCCTCCTCCTCCTCCCCCGCCCGTCCGCGCCCGCCCCTCCAAGCCTCCCTCCCTCGCCCGAGCCTCCAGCACCTCCCAAGCCCCTTCCCGAGCCAAGGCCTTTGGTTTGGGGTCGACAGCTTCGTACTCTAGCCGCCGCCGTAGCTCCCCTGCCCCTGTATCATCCGGCTCTCCCCTTGATAACTTCGACCCTGAAGCAGCACTGGCAGAGGGAGCAGCAGAAGCAGCGGCAGCAGCAGCGGCAGCAGCAGCAGCAGGAGAAGGAGGAAGGTCCGTGCCCTCTCGCATCGCAATGCCTTGTGCTGCCTCTGCTGCTGAAGTGCTTGACGCTCCCACCTCCTCCATCTCCCCTCCTCCCTCTGCCGCTGCTGTGGCTGCTGCATCTGCTGAGTCCTCCTCTCACCTGACTGCAGCAGCAGCCAGCACAGCAGCAGGGCAGCCGAAGCAGCAGCGCAGAGCAGGTGGTGCTGCTGTGTCCACTGCTGCTCCCTCCGCTGCTCCCTCCGCTGCTGCTGCTGCTGCTGCTGCTGCTGGCAGTCCAGTTGATGAGCACGCAGCCTTCCTGTCAGCCCTCCCGCGTCGCAGGCAAACCCATGCCGACATCGCAGCAGCTGCCATTGCCGCTGTCGACGCCGACGCAGCTGCAGCTGCTGGATCAGCTGGTGCCTCTTCCACTCCTCCCAAGCCCACAGCAGCAGGCAAGCCTCCTATGCGCAGGCGGGGGCGGCACTCGCGCTCTCTCTCTATGTCCGATATCATGCCCTCCCCCTCCTCCCTCACATGGCTTGTCGATGACTCTGCAGCTGCTGGCAATGGTCCAGCAGGGGGAGGGGGAGGGGGGATGGGAGGAGGGGCGGACAGTCTGCCCAAGTTTCTGGAGGAGTTGGCGCAGCATGGGTTTGTGGTGTCGGCGTTTGACCGCAGCGAAGGCCGTGTGCTGCACCAAGCAGCGCCACTCTCCTCTGCTCTTGCCGCTCCCGCACACCCCTCCTCCTCCTCCTCGCTCTTCCACAACCCTCCCGGCCGTTTGTTCTCTCCAGACGGGCTGGGTAGAGCCAGTGGAGAAGAGGGGAAGAGGGGAGGGACGGAGGGTAGGAATGACAAGGACATGTCGCCTCTTGACCGGCTGTTGGCTCGCATGCCCCCTCCCCGGCGGTTACAACGGTCAACCACACCGCCTGGTACCCGCATCGAGAGAGCTATGTCACCACTGTCGGACAGGCGGCGAGAGAGTGGGAGTGCAGCGAATGGGACTGGTGGGGTTGGTGATGGGGGGAGTGGCAGGAGTGGCAGTAGTAGGTTTAGCAGCAGCAGCAGTGTTGCTATGGAGGGTGCAGAGGGGGGTTGTGACAGGAGAGGGAGTGAATGTGGCAGTGGGAATGGGATAGTGAGTGAGGATAAGAAAGGTCTTAATGAGAGAATGGGGGGTGAGTCAAGTCAGTCGTGTGAGTCGACTCACAAGTCCCAAGAGGGTGCTGTTGCTTCTGCAGCGCCTAAAAAAGACAAGTTTGGCAATCCACTACCACCACAGGATGCCTTGGCTGTTGGCTGAGGTGCTGTGAGCGGTTGTATGTTGTGAAATCTACAGTGGTGTGGATGTGGTGTAGCGTTCTACAGTTGCACGATTCCTTCTGCTGATAAGTTATTTGTTGAGATGAGCTGTCTTGGACTTCTGATGAGCCATGTTAATTTCTAAATACCCGAACTGAAAATGGGTCTTGTAAGCTGGGCAATGTTGAGGTAGTGTGCTTCAGTGCACAACCTTACCTAGCACTGTGGGGGCAACTGTTGGCTGGCAAGTTGGCTTGGCAAGCCACCATAATCCAGATACGGTATGAAATTGGCACCTTCATGAAACACCGCCTGGTAGTCTACCGTCATCGCCCGGATATACCGTAAGACAGTGTCGAATTGAAGACAGGGGGTGTCGTTAAAACGGGTGTATCTTATAGATGGGTGTTCCTGATTATAAGACAACTGTCGGTGTGTACGAGTTAAGCCAGTATAGGGGTTAGGGGCAATCTTATGACGAGCGGGTATCTTCTAAACGGTTTTTTGTCCATTTATAAGAATTATAAGACACCCTAAACCGTCCCAATTACAAGACACAGCAAGCTTTTTTTCTAATGTATAAGATAAGACATATATGTCTTCTATCCGGGCGATGACGGGGTACGAGCTCAGTGGCCGGCAGGCATACGGTACTGGAATTGTCAAAAAGAGCCAACGATGAAAATGCTAGATGCCGGACGTCTTGTGCTTGGGATTTAGAGCTGTACTGTGCAGACAAAGGCACTGTAAATTGCTTTTCCTACCGTATGTTAAGACAAAACGAGGTTCACTCTTGCACTGCGCTTTCATTTTTTGCTTCATGTATGCACACTGAAAATATATAGGTATCACAATACATTTCACTAAGAGCAAATTGAGTCACTCACACACAGAACCTTACAGTTCTTGCATAAAGGTAGGTCAGCGTAGCGTGTCATGCTTTTGCTTGGGGATGGATGGCCCCGTGGTTGGCAGGCCACTGCAGCATGTCATCAGCAGCATCCTTCCACAGCGAGCAGATTGAGTCACACACAGAACGGTGATAGTTGTAACTTAGTGTGTTATTGCTTGGGGATGGCCCCATGGCTTGCAAGCCACTGCAGCATGGAATCAGCAGCATCCTTCCACAGCGAGCAGATTGAGTCACACACAGAACGGTGATAGTTGTAACTTAGTGTGTCATTGCTTGGGGATGGCCCCGTGGCTTGCAAGCCACTGCAGCATGGAATCAGCAGCATCCTTCCATCCCAGGTCCAGCATGACATCATGTGGCATGCCTGGCAGCACCACTGCTTCCGTGTTAAAGAACTCCGCTGTCTCCCGCACACCCTGGTCATCCTGCTTAGTGGAAGAGGGAGGGACAGGGGGGTGGAGGGAATGCAGGGATGAGGAGACACGAGAGTGGGGCATCCTGCCATCCTTCCATCCGAGGTCAAGCATGATGTCATGCGGCATGCCTGGCAGCACCACTGCTGCTGTGCTGAAGAACTCGGCAGTTTCCTTCACGCCCTGGTCGTCCTGGTTAGTGGAAGATAGGGGGAGGGATAGGGGGGAAGGAGGGATGAGGAGACAAGTGCAAGGAGAGTCTTTCCATCCAAGATCGAGCATGAGGTCATGAGGCGTACCTGGCAGCGCCACTGCTGCTGTGCTGAAGGACTCGGCTGTTTCTTGCAAGCCCTGGTCATCCTGGTTAGCAGCGGAGAGAGGGCGGGATGGGGGGGATGAGGGGGATGAGACATGAGTAACTCACCCTCCGCAGGTCGAACAGCGGCAGCTTGCTGCTGTCGGACAGCAGTGCCTGGTAGCGCTTCACATCATCCCCAGCACCCCCAGCACCCCCAGCACCCCCAGCACCCCCAGCACCCCCAGTACCCCTTTGCATAGCAGCACAGGAGGCATATCAACCAACTCACCACAATGACGTCATCAGCAGCACCCAGCACCATGACAGGCGGGCAGTAGGCCGGCGGCTTGGCCACGGGGAGCGACGCGTTGAGCAGCCTGAGATCAAACAGAGGCAGCTTGCTGCTGTCGGAGAGGAGGGCCTGGTAGCGCTTCACTTCAGCTTCGGGGAGGGCGGGGGAGAAGAAGGAGTCGCGGCAGAGGGCGAGCGAGGAGCGGAAGAGCTTGGCTGCCAGGCTGAGCGTGATCTTGATGGACAGGATGGGGCGCGTGCACATGTAGCGCTTCACTAGCTCCCTGGTGGGTGGGGGTTGAGGGGGAGGACAGGATGGGTAGGAGCAACAGAAAGAGGCGTTTGAGGGAGGGAGAACAAGGAGTGGAAGGGCTGCGAGGCTGAGGGTGATCTTGATGGACAGGATGGGGCACGTGCACATGTAGCGCTTCACCAGCTCCCTGGTGGGTGGGAAGGAAGGGGACGGGGTGGCGGGGACAGGGATGGGGGGGGGGGTAAGAGAGACAGCATGGGGCGCGTGCGCATGCAGCGCTTCACCAGCTCCCTGGGATGGGGTTTGTGTGGGAGGGGAGAGATAAGGCAGGAAGAGGGACGGGGGTGGGGAGGAGGGGGATGCGTGGGGGCAATAGGGTGGGGTGCGTGCACATGTGGCACTTTACCAGCTCCCTGCATTTACACACTCGGATGGCCCCCTAAGACCCACCGGGCTTATCCCACCCCAAACCCCCTCTCCTCTCCTCCCCCCCCCCCCCCCCCCCCCCCCAACACACACACACACCCTATCCCCCCGTTACTGTCACACTCACATGTTGCCAGTGGGCGGCACAGAGCAGGCGAGCACAGCCCCCGTTAGAGGGGCGAAGGGGACTCCGTCTGACCAACAGGAGAAACAAGGGGCGAACCAGAAAGGGTGGAGAGAGGTTCTGAATGGTCTAGACCGGTAGAGAGGGTAGATTGGGTTTTGTGGGACGAGAGACAGAGGGGTAATAAAATAGGGGGAGATGCGGGAGGAAGAGAGGGAAAGCGTGGACATATGATTTTTCTGGGAGGGACCCCCAATCACATGCTCCATGCACACATCAATCACAAAGATGCTCCCACCCAGCCACCTCCACCTGTCAGCGAATAACCACTCACCATCCTTGCTGCTCTCCCAGTCCTTTGCCACGTCAGCAAGATACGCCTGCACAATCAGCCCGCCGAACGAGTGTCCAACTAGGACCGGCGGCCGGCCGACGAGCTGGCGGATAACGTTTGACACGTCAGCAGCGTGGGACTGCGTTATCAAGGCGCAACAGAAGGAAAATGGAAAAGAAACACGCGGCTATAAGCATCAGGGCTGAGAATCACGTGTCGCTGTTCCAGCCTACCCATAGAGCTCAAATAAAGCACCAGCAGCTGATAGTCACAGATAGCAGGCAGTCAACCTCCTGATAAAACCTTGTTGACATTTTAGTCGACTCAAAATTCAACCAGGCAGTCTACCTCCTGATGAAACCTTGTTGACATTTTAGTCGACTCAAAATTCAACCAGGCAGTCTACCTCCTGATGAAACCTTGTTGACATTTTAGTCGACTCAAAATTCAACCAGGCAGTCTACCTCCTGATGAAACCTTGTTGACATTTTAGTCGACTCAAAATTCAACCAGGCAGTCTACCTCCTGATGAAACCTCGCAGCTGTGGCCTAGAAGCTTCCGACCAAGCATCTAGTCCCCAACACGCTACTGGAAAGTGTAGGTGAGAGTGGGTGTGTGTGTGTCCGTAGCTCAGTTGAAGTCCTTTTAATCTCGCTCAATCAGCGCGTTACATGTGGAATCTACACTCCAAATACATTTGCACCTGCCGTTAGCCTGTCTAGCCTCTCTCTCAATCGCAGGAGATTTCACAACATTGAATGCCCTTCGTACGTCCTATATATTCACAGCTTCCTGAAGCCTGCATTCGGATTCTCCTTTCACCTCTCCAACACTATCACCTTTCTCCATAATCACCTCTCACCATCATCACCCCCAACAAATCACTCCTCACCATGATCACTTCTCACCATATGTCACCTCTTGCTTAACACGTTTCACCATTATCCCATTCTGTCATTATTACCTACCGTCATCACCTCTCACCACTATCGAATCGCACCTGAACGGTCCCAGCCACAGGAGCGTTCGGGACGTCGCTGCCACCCTGACCGAGGATGCTTATAGCGAAGCAGTCGAATCCCAGTGCCGACAAATACGGCATCCACTTATCAGCCCAGCACCACGCGGCGTGGTAACGCCCATGGATAAACACCAATGGCGGTAGCTGCTGCTCCGGATCGGCACCCACGGCCTTCGCGTCTAGATCCGCTCGACGAATCAGGACCTCCATTTTGTAACCCGACGGTAGCTCGTGTAACACGCGCTCCGTCTGACCGGGAGTGGTGGTAACCGCAGACGCGGTTGACGCTGCCTGCGCGAATACTCGACGGGGAGAGCGTACTTGACGGCAGAAGGATGGATCAGGCCGTTGCAAAGTACGAACGAGTCTTTGAACGCTAGGAAACCCTCGGGAGAGGCCTGCGACTTTATCAAGCGAGGCTACTGCGAAGGCATGGCTCTGGCACCTATCTGTTTGTCGCACCCGGGCTCCAACCGCCAATGCAGCACCGCCACGGGATAAAGAAGCCGCCATGGTAACACCAGTGACGCGACGTCCTGCCTGCGGTTGACTGACAATAAAGTCCTAGAATCAGGAACCTTGAGAGTGCAAAATAGTAGTGGCACGTGTGTGTTGATTGGATGCCTGGAGTTTGGAATCTGGTTTGGAAGCCGGTCTATTCTCAGCGGGAGTTTGGTAAGTTCATCGAAATGTAACCTGCTTGACGAAGCGTGGCGAACGCTTCCGAGAAGCCGTGCGACGCCAAGCAAATGTCGTCTTGCAGGGAGGGTGAAGTGCGAGATCAATGCTGATACATTCGCCAATCCTAGAGAATACTCACATGCTGATCTTTGAAGCTGACCAATCAGGCCTGATAGAGTCGCATTCAGGGACCAGGAAATTGGTACTCCATAAAGTCATAGCTCACTAACAAACGAGCATGATACAATGAAAAAGAATTTCAGAGATGAAATATTACAATCAGAAAACAGAACATAATTGATATCAATCAAGGGACTGAATTATGAGTCTGATTCTTCAAACTATTCAGACTAACTAGTACGAGAGTGTCACCCCTGGTCGGACCTGGTCGAGTTTACAAAGAGGACCATGCAACGGATCAGATCAAGTTATAAACGTGTAAATGCCATAACCTCATAGACAAGTAAAAACCTGCGAACTATTGTAAACTTTGGTAGCGCAGATATTTTCAGCCGAAAATATCACGTCATCCATATCAAGGCATCTTTTGGGCTGCTGACCTGGTTCATAGACTTTCCAGACTGGTCAGACGAGTTGCTGACGCGGTGCTTCGTCACTTAGGGCCTTCCCGCTCATTCTTTGTTAGAAATGGCGAATCAGCGTTATCGAGGCAGCATTGAACACGCCTGGAAAGTCTGCAGCTGTCGCTAATGATTGCTGATGTGTCCTCTGTGAACGGCACATGCTGCCATGACCATCACGAGTCACGTCACGTCACTACGACTGCATTTTCCGTAAATTGAACAGTGTCGAGTACCGTTTTTTTCAGCAGTTCTCACATCTGGGTGTACACTCCTCGTATTTCTCTTAAGTTTAGCACCCGAGATCTGACGCTTTTGTACCAGTTTATGTAGCACTGTATGAGTTTTATTTGCTGAAGGTTGTTTCAGTACACGTATCATCCGGAGCGCATCCATACAGAAAGATGTACAGTGTCTGATTTCCTTCACTCTCACCCGACATGGGGCGTGATCCAATCAAATGGCAGCAGCATGCTGCTGCACCCAAGCATCGGATTTGTAAGGGGTCCTTTTGTGTGCCAAGCCAAGCATGCACAAAACAAAAAAGTGGCGGGAAACGGACTGCGGCGCCCAAGATTGCGCTGTGAAAATTGGTACAGAGAACACCCATAGCTTCTCAAACTTTGTAGGGTGAAATACTGTAATAGCACTTCAAAATCGCAGTCCTGTCATACCACACTTACTGGATTATGTGCAGATGCGGTAGGAACACCATGCGGCAGACCCCAGCAGACACGATATAAGTGGATGGGGTGCGGAGTCAAGTTTGACAAACCCCTTCAGGAAAAAACGTGTTGATCTCCGCATATGTCTCGAAGGGAAAGACCGATATTATAATACGCGTGACAGAATGGATGCACCACAACCAGCACATGTTGCGAATCATAGATACACAATCAGCATCCCCCGTCATCTTTTCGACCAACCAGAATGCCCCTCTTTACCTCCGTCACCACCACCACAGACGAATGCAAGCAGGACTGCTTTTTCTGTTTGTGTGCATGAAATTGGTCGCAGGGTTGGCCCTCTCAAGGCAAGTTCATTCGCGCCCACAGACATTCTATTGCGAGAGTGGAGTACAGTATGGTCTTGCATGTACAGTACTGCACTTGCCCGCTATATATCGGGCTAAAAAACGTAGTGCACTTGCACTTGAGTTGTTGTGTTCTCTCGGACGGACCTTTCCCAGTGGTTCTAAAGACCGGAGATCCCGACCAGATTTAGTTGGCAGCATTGAGCTCGTGGTTTGTAACCGCTCGTCACAAATTCGCCCCTGCCGCACGTCTACGTCCGTGTCGCATGGTGTGTTCGAGCTTGCACGCCTATCACGTAAAGTTTCGTTGTATTCGAGAAACAACCGTCCGCTTTATTCGGCGCCGCATCACACGCACAAGTGCTTCACTGCATGGCGGCAATAACCAGCCAATGCTGAATCCTCTTCGAGGAGCAGACAGCCATTTCTTGTGAGCGCCGGAAAGCCGCTTATTTTCTTTGCCCGACGAAATCCTTGCGCAGCGCTGCTTCCCTTGCGCATTTTCAGCCAGGGTTCGCTCCGACATCTGAGGCGCCTCAAGTATCATTTGCGCAGCGTTGGTTGCCTGCGCATTCTCAAGAGCCCACTCCGTCAACCATGGCCACTCTCGCCTTCGAGCCTCTGTGCGGCGCGGAAGAGCTCCTGCTTCTGGATTGGATCATCGACGGCTCGTGCTCCACTGACGACTCAATGCTTTGTCGCGCTGCGACTGCTGACCGGCGCGGCGCCGGTGCAAACGACACTTTCGCGTCGCCTTCGTTCCCGGCTGCTGGTATTGGCGGAAAGCTATCGCATTCGCCGCTGCGCGCCTCGGCTAGCGAGAGAAACCTCGGCGGCCTTTGTGGCGATTCGCGAGGCGGCAAGCGAGAGTTTCGCCGAACCTGCTCGATGGAGGACATGAACAGCAGCGGCTGCGGCAGCGGCGCAACTGGCGGCGGAGGTCGCGGCGGTAAGCCGGGTAACCGGATTCATGTGGAGTCTTCGCCGTCGTCCGTCCTGACGAGCGGTCCGTCGTCGCCCGCAACGTCGGTCGATAGCTGTACAAGCGATCTCACGTCGCCTATGAGCAGCCCCGTTATAACGGAGAGGAATATGGCGAAACCGAGGACGTTGCACCTTCCTCCGCTTCCCCCGAAGGCGCCGGTGCTGTCTGACTCTTCGTGGCGGACCATACCCGTTACAAGCGGCCTCGCGAGCTGCGTGTCGCCCAAGGTTCAAGTTCAGCCGTTGCATCAGATCAGGTCGTTCGGCGCGTCTCAACAAGCGGACCCGTCCGCGCTTCCGCCGCCGATACAGCAGCAGCAGCGGGAAGCGCAACAAAGGCGCAAGACGCAGCTCGCGGAAGCCAGCTGCGCGGCGGGGGATGCGCAGGTGGCGCGAGCGCCGGCGAAGCAGCATCCGCTGCTGGTTCTGGATGAGCAGCGGCGGAAGCACCGCGCGTGGGTGTCGCTGTTTTCCCCCTCTCTCGCGCAAACCCTTTCCCCGCTTGCGCCATCCGAGAGTGGCGCGGAACTAAAATAATTGGCGGAGCTACGAGCGCAAGCTCCGAGCGCAGCACACGCGGAAGCGGAACAGCGAGCGGAAGGCGATTGCACCCGCGATATCAACGGAGCTGCGGAAGCTCCAATCCCGCCGTTTTGCGACGAATTTCGACGTTTTTCGTTTCCTGCTGCCAACGATGGGCAGCCAGGAGTTCCCAGCGTCTGCTTCGCGAATGAAAATTCGTCTGACGAACTTGTTGGCGACGTCACTCACGCGATTCGCCAGGGGCTGGGATCTATGAAACTAGGAGGTGTAGCGGGCAGCAGCAGCGGGCAGGAACAGAACTTCAGCCGCTCATTTTCGTATGATGTCACCAGTGATGGAGGTGGGTTGCCAAACCGTAATACGTCTGGCATTCGCCGAACCTCCAGTGACGTTTGTGAGGCACCAGCAGATGTGATGAGCACCAATGGAACAGTGATGTTGACGAAGCCGTCGAACCTGAGGGGTGGTGGCATGGCAAAGCAGGTCCCACAGGGGCAGAAGAAGGTGAGGTGGGGGGCAGACGAAGTGTTTGAAATCCCTGCCCGCTGCTCCACTAAAGACTTCTGAGGACATTGCACACTAGGGCTTCACTGGCATGGCAAGAGAAGCTAAATTATGGATGGCTGGCAACCCCTGATTGTATTGCATTGCATTGGCTGAGGGCCTGAGGCCCCTGATTTGAATGAGTTGCTTGTATATTATTGAGTTGTTCACTTTGGTTCATATAATGGAGTCAGATCTTACACTGCAATATTTGGCCTTACCGTAATCCTACACGCCACGCCACCATCCACAAGTAGGGCAAGAAATAGACTACAACCAGAAAGCTTTTACCTTGCATCTGATACGGTAGGCCACAACTAGAAGCGATTCTAAGCTGGAGCGTTCAAAACAAGCAACGGCTAAAATTCACCATTGTTGATCGCGACATACCCAGCAAACACCCGTCCACTCGTGGCCCGCATCTCATTGATCAGCCTGTTCCAGTTGGACCCAAGCACACCCACATAGTAGTCACATTCCGAAGAGATAATCAGGTTGGCAAAGCTCACCCCCACCAGCTGCGCCCTGCCAGCCTTCTTCTCGTAGTCGATCAGCCGCATGTCGCCCAGCTGCCTCTCGTTCTGCGAGTAAAAGAAGGTCCAGTCCTTGAACTGCGCTGATTGGTCGATCACAGACTGGGGCGGGGAGGGGGGAAGAGAGAGTGAGTTCGGGGGGTGCTGCCTCTTGCTCTGCGAGTAGAAGAAGGTCCAATCCCTGAACTGCGCTGATTGGTCGATCACAGACTGGGGGGGGGGGGGGGGAGGGGCAAGAGAGAGTGAGTTCGGGGTGCTGCCTCTTGCTCTGCGAGTAGAAGAAGGTCCAATCCTTGAACTGCGCTGATTGGTCGGTCACAGACTGGAACGGAGTGGTGGGTTTGAGGGGTGTGGGGGGGACGGGGACAGAATGGGAAAGGGGAAGGGGAAGGAGTGGGGAGGCGGGAGGAGAGAGTGAGTGTGGAGTGGACGGTCGCCCCACTGGCTGCACCGGCCAACACGAGTCGACCAGTCGAAAAACTAACTCCTGCCTCTCGCTGTGAGAGTAAAAAAAAAACATATTGTCTATTTGATTCATTCCTGTCCATCTGTTTGATCGTTGTTCACCTGATATTGCTAGTCAAGTCATTATCTCCCTGCTTGGAAATTCCTCACCTTGAAGATTCCTTACCCCCACCCTGGGGATCCCTCACCTTGGGAACTCCTCACCTTGAGACAGCCTCACCTGCATTTCAGTGCTGATCCACACGAATCGGATGTCAGGAACGTGGAGTCTGAGGCGGTGCATATAGAACATGAAGGAGTTGAAAGAGCTCAGCTTCATCTCACTCCCCTTGTCGCCCTGCCGAATGTGCAGGCTCACCATCGGCCGAGGCATATACGCCTCCCGCCCCACCCTCTCGTACAGGCTCGTCAGATAGGCTCGGAAGCCAGGTGCAGGCCCGGGCGAGCTTGCCGAGCCTGAGCAGCTGGCGACGCCGAGCCCGGGCCAGGCCCGGGCTTGCATGGATGGATCGGCAAAGGAAAGGAAAGACGGGTCGGTGTGGTTGAGACTGAGGGGGCGGAGAGGCGTTGAGGATACCACATCAGTTCCAGCAGCAGCAGCAGAGGCGGCGAGTGAAGAGGAGGAGGAGGCAGCAGCGAGGTGGTCGATGTAGAGTCGGAGGAGGGCGGTGCTGCGATCACGGGCTTGCACTGTGTGGGTGGCAACACGGAGCCCGTAGGCGCCGTGGCGAATGCGGTTGGTGAGATGGCAGAGGTACGGCGAGGGCCAGCGCAGCATGAAGCGCAGCGCTTGGCTGCGCCACCAATGCACCTGAAAGGGAAAGGGGAAATGGGGGAGATTGGATGCGGTTGGTGAGATTGCAGCTCATGCAAGTGACGTGATGTAGTGTGGTGGGAACACACAGAGGTACGCCACTGGCCAGCGCAGCGCAAGAATTAGGGAGGGTGAGTGAGTGAATGGGGAGGAAAGGGGGTGGGGGGGTGGTGGGTTGGGTTGAGGGAGAAACGGTGGAAGAAACTGAGTTACGGAGAATGCGACCCTACACCACCCCGTGAACCTGTTTTTCAGTCGATCAAAAACACCCTACACCACCCCTTGAACTACCTCACCACCGCACACCGCCTCTCCATCCACCCACACCACCCCCTTGAATACACACATCACCGCACACCACCTCTCCATGCACCCACATCACCGCACCCCACCCCACACATGTCATATTAAGGTGCTGCGGATTGTCTCTCTCCACCTGCCCCTGCAGCTCTATGATGTTGCTCCGACTGATGAGCCACAAAAACCTCTCCATCTACCAACATCCCACTCCATCCCACTCCACCGCACCTTGATGTGCTGCGGATTGTCCCTCTCCACCTGCCCCTGCAGCTCTATCATGTTGGGTCGCTCCAGGTAAGCTGTACCCCACTGGCTGGTAAGGGCGCACACGGGGGAGGGGAAACAAGCATGCAATGCGTGCTGAGACTCTTTCAAACGTCTCTCTCCAACGTCTCTCTCCACCTGCCCCTGCAGCTCTATCATGTTAGGTCGCTCCAGGTAAGCCGTACCCCACTGGCTGGCAGGGGAACAAAAGGAAAAGGCAAGGGGGGAGTGTATGCCGATATACGTCTCAAAAGTGTCAGAAGGAGCGACACGCACGCGTCCCCTTCATTGAACTATTAAAAATGTTTGGTGCTGCTTTCGTGCTGCTGCTGCTGCTCTATCTCACCTACCCTCATCTGGCTATGCTGGCATAGCGCAAGCGAACTGTCTCCTCCCCACTCACCCGGAAACACTGCCCTCATGCATAGCCTTCACTCACCCACCCCTCAGCTGGCAATGCTGGCTTCGAACTGAAGCCCATTGAAGGGCTCCCCATGGAAGCACACAATGGGGTGGTCCGACGCAACCCAAGCACCACTCTCTTTGTTGCTGCAGCCCTGACTCCTCCCCCCTCCCCTGGCAACACTGTCCTCTCATGCATAGCTTTCACTCACCCACGCTCACCTGGCAATGCTGGCTTCGAACTGAAGCCCATTGAAGGGCTCCCCATGGAAGCACACGATAGGGTGGTCCGATGCAAGCACCTCCTCCTTGGTGCTGGGCGTGCAGCAGGGCGGCAGCGCCCCGGTGCTGTTGGACTTAAGGGCGATCTCCTCGCAGTCAGGAGAGGTGAGAGGGAAGAAGTAGCAGTTGAACGTGCCCCATGCTCCTGTGGCTGGAATGGTGGGTCGGGGGGGAAAGAGAGGGGTGGGAGAAGGGGAGTGAGCAAGGAGAGACCCAGGGACCTCCTCCTTGCTGCTGGGCGTGCAGCAGGGCGGCAGCGACCCGCTGCTGTTGGAGTTCAAAGCGATGGCTTCGCAGTCAGGAGAAGTCAGAGGGAAGAAGTAGAAGTTGAAAGTGCCCCACGCTCTTTTGGCTGATATGGGCTAGGAGGGTGAGGTAGTATATGTAGAGGAAGGCGAGGAGGGGATGAGCGTAAAAGGGGGTGAGGGAGTGAGTGACACATGGGCATATAACAGCAGCGTGTGACTGTGATTCATTGACAGACTGATGCATGAAAGACGTGCTGTGCTTGGCAAGGTTAAAAGTCTGATACATGACAGCACTAGGGTGTAGCTTTGGCTGTGGCTCGCATATGAGTGTTGTTCACTGTACTCGCTATAAGCACACTCACCATTGCACTCGTCGTGCTTGGCGCGATCAAACGAGGGATACTGGAGAACCAGCGTGCGGTTGTGGCGCATGGCCAGGCTCAGAATGGCCGTTATTATGTGCAACTGTATTGAGAAGAGAGAAGGGAAGGGGGGGAGGGGAACAGGGGCGAGGGGCCGAAGGGTGGGAGGAAGTAAGCAAGGTGGTTGTGGCGCATGGCTAGCTAGGCTGAGAGTGGGCGTTATGATGTGCAACTGTATTGAGAAGAGGGAAGGAGGGGCGGAAAAGGGGAACAGGGGCGAGGAGGGAGAGGGGTGGGAGGAAAGTAAGCAAGGCGGTTGTGGCGCATGGCTAGGCTGAGAGTGAGCGTCAATATGTGCAACTATGCAGAGAAGGGGGGACGAAGGGAGGAGGAGTGGGAGAGGAGGGGAGGAGGGGAGGATGGTTGTGGGCACAAAAGCAGGGAACGAGGTTGTGGCGCATGGCTAGGCTGAGCTGAGAATGGCCGTCAGTATGTGCACCTGTGGGGAACGAGAGGGCGCGAGGGAGGGATGAAGGGCGAGGGGAAGAGGGCTGGGGGGGAAACGAAGGAAATGCAATGCCTGGACAGCCTAACCAACTCACACTCACTCACCTGGGACCCGATCCCATGGGCGATGTAGGCCCAGTGAGCAATGAGCAGTGAGCAGGCAGCGCACATGTAAAATGGAATGCCTAACTCACTGGTTATAATCACACTCACTCACCTGCGACCCGATCCCATGGGCGATGTAGGCCCAGTGAGCAATGAGCAGGCGCCGCCCCTCACACCGATTGGGCGGGAACTGGTGCTCCCAGATGTCCCTCTGTGCTACACGTGTCATGCCCAGATTGGCTGCGTCGGACCCGCGAATCTGCAAGGAGGAATAAGGATGAGAGGGAGAACGGGGGAGGCAGGGGTAAGGAGGTGGGGAAGGTGCTTGACGTGCGAGCAGGTGAGGTGCTGCGATGGGGAACAGAGGGATGAAGGCCAAGGCATCGGCGCATCGCTGATACAGCTGTTTGATCATGCCTATTGAGGAACAAGGGGACAGAGCCTGATGATGTGTAAACACTTGTAAATATGAGGCGATCACATCACATACACACCCATGGCGGCTGTGGGTTGCAGCCGCAGCGGTCTTTGGGTCGAGCCCACTCAGGGGACTCCCCATTCGGCCCTCGCTCCTCCGCTGCCCTTCTGCCCGCCGACAAGGTGACTTTTGTGTGAATTAAACAATATGACAATCAAATACACACCCATACACACCCATGGCGGCTGTGGGTTGCAGCCGCAGCAGTCTTTAGGTCGAGCCCACTCAGGGGACTCCCCATTGGGTCCTCGCTCCTCCGCTGCCCGTCTGTGCGCCGACACCTCGCTGCATGCCTCCAAATGCGGAGCTGCTGCCACGTCAGCGGGCAGGGAAATCTTTTCCGGGGGCAGAAGGGACTCTTTTTGCAGCCCGTACGCCTCCTCCCAATGCTGTGTTGGAAAGGAAGTGTTGGGGAAAGGGGGGGAGGGATTGGCAGGAAGGGTTAGGGAAATGGCGGGAGAGTGCGGTTCAAAGGGGTAGAGTGAGGCACCTCGACATGTGCTTAGAAATAACCAGATCACTGAATCATCGAACGACGCACCTTGAAGAGCTCGTGACCGCGCTTGAGCCCCTCGTCTGCTTGCAGCCTCCCGCCGTCCAGATGATCGCCGACGGCTAGCGACCGAGTTACCAGCAGTAATGCGACGCTGACGACGGAAACGACATAAATTAGCGCAGAAGTACGCATGGTCCAGTCTTTGAGCATTGACGAATTTAAGTCGATGTCGCACGAGACGGCTCGAAACGAGCCTAAAAGTAGGTACAGTCTTAGGCTTGCCCTAGGGTTAGCACTGGCGTGACGATCGGCGAGAAACACCCAGAGCCTGTTTTCAGTTCAGCTCATAGACAGGTGCTTAGTAGCACGGAAGGAACAGTCACGCCCATCGAGTGCAACTAGGGGATCAACCAGATTCGGCGAGAGCGAGACTCAGTGCGAGCGTGAGCATGAGAACGAACTGAGAAGAGTCTTATCGACGCCAAAGTCACTAAATAGACGATGATCCTGATAAATGATGCCTGTCGCTGAACTGGTTGGTTTGACAGCCGAGGCGCGGAAATAGTTCGTTCGCTGTTGAGCCGACAGGTGCACAATCAGGTTAGGAAACAGGCCTGGTTATTGCGAAGCCAAAACTCGCGATAAAGCAGATTGAGATTTCTTCGTTACTAAAAACCATTTTCCACAATTGGACTGAGAATAGAGCCTTTCAGAGTTAGTCATCTACACTAAATTAAGGGGTAAAATTATACAAACCTGGAAATTCTTGTGACAAAAAAGGCAAGAGCGGCTGATTATAAGACCTAGCAGCACTATCAATGAGATTACGTTCCTGAGCTACCTGAATCAAGTTCGATAGTCTCTTCATTATATTAGCACGCCTTGGCCTTATCACACAACTGTGGACAGATGGCCTTCCTTGATGTCATTGGAGCAGTGAGATGGGATGCAGTGCATGGAAAGAATGTCAGGTGTGGCATTCTTGGCCTTAGCTGTTTCAAGCACCAACACCTGCACACACACCCATGCCCATTCATGCCAACACATTTTAACATGAATGCAAGATGTACATTCCAGTGGCACAAGGGCATAAAACGTTTTACATAAACAGCACAAACTGCACCGACTGCTTAGAGCAGTCCTGCATGACATCCTCTAAATTCGCCTTTACAGGCCAAAACAGCAATCCTCCCCGGCCTACCTGGTTGTGTTGAACTGCATGAACAGTCAGTGCACTCCTTCACGAGTCATACCTCCTAGGCACCCATACACCAATCCTCTAACAACCGATTCCCCTCAATCCAACCTTAACCGATTCCCGCCTTACCTGGTCGTAATCGAGGTCAAACTACACGAACGGCTCCGTGGAAATCACTTCTGAGAATTCTCGAAAGTGATTTTTCCTCACCCGCCTTACCTGGTCATAATCAAGGCCAAACTGCATGAAGGGCTCCGTGCATTCCTCCACGAGGCGAGCGAGCTGCAGCAGGTTCTTCACTGGCACCCCGTTGAAGCTCACCACCTGCGTGTTCACCACCTCCTCGTACCCGATGTTCACATCCGCAACCAGCACCTGGGCATGGGGGCAGGGGGGTCGGGGAAGGGCATGCACACAACAGGGGTTTATTCTTGTCACATATGCCCCACGACGGTTCTTCACTGGCACGCCGTTGAAGCTCACCACCTGCGTGTTCACCACCTCCTCATAGCCAATGTTCACGTCTGCCACTAGCACCTGCGCATGGGGGAAGGGCATGCACGCAACACATGCCACCATACAAGTGTGTTCACCACCTCCTCGTACCCGATGTTCACATCCGCCACCAGCACCTGCGCATGGGGGCAGGGGGTTGGGGAAGGGCATACACGCAACAGGGGTTTGCTATTGACACATATGCCCCACCCCACGATGGTTCTTCACTGGCACCCAGTTAAAGCCCACCATCTGAGTGTTCACCACCTCCTCGTACCCTATGTTGGCATCCGCCACCAGCACCTGCTCATGGGGGAACGGGCATGCATGCAGTTATTTACGTGTCGACTAACAATATGTTCACATCCGCCACCAGCACCTGCACATGGGGGGAAAGGTCATACACGCAAGAGGGTTATTTTTTCATGCATATGCCACCTGCACCTGCACGCGGATAAGGGTATGCATGCGAGAAAGAGCTTCCAGCTGAAGCTGGGTCAGTAAGATGACGTGACATTCACATACGGTATGCCAACAGCAGCTGGGCATGGGGAACAAGCATACATGAATTTCCCCACACCTGAATCTCCACACACCTAATTCTCAGCATAGCGTTCACAGCTGGCGGTCACGCACCTGTGAGATTACGACCACCTGTTACAGTCACCCACTCGTTACAGCCCCAAACTCGTTACAGTCACGCACCTGCGAGATGACGACCACCTGCTCATCATCCGACTGCCTCATGCGGTGCATGAGCTTATCCAGCAGCTTCACTGGCGCATCGTAGTCATAGTCCTTGCCGTACTGTTGGGAGACACAAGGAGGGAATAGCAGGTAGCAGGCAGGTAGGGGTGGGTGGGTGGGTAAGGAACATCTGTGTGAGTGTCTCATGCGGTGCATCAGCTTATCCAGCAGCTTCACCGGCGCATCATAGTCATAGTCCTTGCCGTACTGTTAGGGAGACACAAGGAGGGAGCACCGGCCAGGGGACAGCTGTGAGTCATAGTCCTTGCCGGTATGTTAAGAAGCAAGCACGCAAGCAAGCAAGGACGCACGCACACAGGGAGTTGGAAGGAGCACTGGTCAGGGGATCAGCATGGGAGGGTGGGGAAGGAGCATTCGTGTGAGTGTCTAAGCACGGGTGAGAGGATAATGGAGGGTGCATGGGTGGGAGGGGAAGGAGCATTCGTGTGAGTGTCTAAGCACGGGTGAGAGGATAATGGAGGGTGCATGGGTGGGAGGGGAAGGAGCATTCGTGTGAGTGTCTAAGCACGGGTGAGAGGATAATGGAGGGTGCATGGGTGGGAGGGGAAGAAGCATTCGTGTGAGTGTCTAAGCACGGGTGAGAGGATAATGGAGGGTGCATGGGTGGGAGGGGAAGGAGCATTCGTGTGAGTGTCTAAGCACGGGTGAGAGGATAATGGAGGGTGCATGGGTGGGAGGGGAAGGAGCATTCGTGTGAGTGTCTAAGCACGGGTGAGAGGATAATGGAGGGTGCATGGGTGGGAGGGGAAGGAGCATTCGTGTGAGTGTCTAAGCACGGGTGAGAGGATAATGGAGGGTGCATGGGTGGGAGGGGAAGGAGCATTCGTGTGAGTGTCTAAGCACGGGTGAGAGGATAATGGAGGGTGCATGGGTGGGAGGGTTGGGAAGACAGGTCTCTCCGACTCGCTCATATCACATGCATCAGCTTGTCCACCAGCTTCACCGGTGCACCGCAGTCATAGTCCTTGCCGTACTGTCAGTCAGCTCAGCTGCTGCAGCACCTTGGCCGAGCTGGCCCTCGATGTTGCAGGGTGTTTCTTAAAATTCTAAAAACCTCACTGGTGCACTGTAGTCATAGTCCTTGCCATACTGTCAGCTGCAGCAGCACCTTGTCCGGGCTGGCCCTCGGACACATGAGATGAGACCATCGAAGCCCTCACCTCTACCTCGAGATATGGAACAGTCACCCAGGTGAACACGAGTCCTGCGATGTGCACGGGCGCCGTGCGCTTGTGCCTCCTCAGCTCCACCTGCGGCTGCACCACCTTGCTTGCTCTGGGCACTAGACCGCCTCAGAGAAAACCCTCACCTCGGCCTTCAAGTAGGGCACAGTGACCCAGGTGAACACTATCCCCGCCACAATAAAGTACGACGGGGGCAGCCCTGCGATGTGCACGGGCACCATGCGCTTGTGCCTCCTCAGCTCCACCTTCAGCTGAAGCACCTTGCCTCCTCGCAGCACGCTGATCTGTGCCGTCTCCCCCTCATACTTCTGAGACACCAGGTAGCTGAAGCCTATGCGCTCGCCCTTGCGGAACGGCACTGGGGGAAGGGGCGAGGGGGAGGGGGGAAGGGTGGTCCGGGGGGTTGAGGGGCGAGGGAGGGAGGGGGTATGTTAATTTGTGCCGTCTCCCCCTCATACTTCTGAGACACCAGGTAGCTGAAGCCTATGCGCTCGCCCTTGCGGAACGGCACTGGTGGGGTGGAAGGGGGAGGGGGAGTGCAGGGTGCACTCCCCCTCCCCCTCTCCAGGGCGGAGGTTTATAGAGTTGGGGGGTGCGGGCGGGAGCGGGTGCAATTTGGTTTGAATTAGATTCACAAACACATTGTCACCCCCAGCACGCTGGGGGATGTAGGACTTCTGCACTGCAGCACGTGGACAGCAGGGGAATAGCGATATCTCACAAGCAGCTCACGGTCACACGCACATACCTGTGCCATCGTTGGCGACAGCAACGCCATCAAAGGACAGTATGATGTCGGGCGTCTGCAGCAGCTGGGCTGCAGGGGAGGTTGGATCCAGCCGTCTCACCCTCACGCCCCGCCTCCATCCCCACAACTAGCTTCCCAATATAGGCACACACACGCACCTGTGCCATCATTTGCCACTGCCACGCCATCGAAGGAGAGCAAGATGTCTGAAGTCTGCAGCAGCTGCGCGGCAGGCGAGGTGGGTTCCACGCGCCTCACCCGCACGCCCTTCTGCCCCGCCTCCATGCCCAGCGCCTTGCGCATGTCCGGATTCTCCATCTTCTGCCACTCCACTCCCAGGATGGGGAAACCTATAGAGAGGAGGAGGAGACAGGAGAGGAGGAAATGGGAATCGGGATGGGAGCAGGGGCGGGTTGGGGTGAGTTATGGCAGCAATCAGACCTTATGCGCACAGGAGGAAATAAGGATAGGAGTGGGAGTGGGAAGCGGAGCAGGAGCGAGCGAGTTGCGGTGAATCACAAAAACCTGGGGAGCACACGGGGAAGAGGGAGACAGGGAGAGAAAGAGTGCGAACGGCGTTGTAGTGCCCGTTGCGATCATAGTCGCACATGAAATGGCTGGTCGCAATCATTGCTTCCGGGGCGTATTCAAGACACAGGCGAGGCTCTTGAGGGATAGGATAAGACTCTCTCGAGCAAGATGAAGTGGTTGATGACGGGCGTGGGGATGATATACCCACCAACCCACCCATTCACCCACCCACCCCCCCTCACCTACCTGTGTAGCGGCCGTTGCGGTCGTAATCCGAAATAAAGTAGTGGATGACCGGAGTGGGGTTGATATACCCGATGTTCTCCGCCTCATCGCCTCGCCGCGCATGGACTGGAACGCAATCCCCACACACTCGCCCGGTGTAGTGGCCGTTGCGGTCACAGTCGGAGATGAAGTGGTTAATGACGGTTTCAGGGGCTTATTTCAAGACGTAGGCGAGGCTCTAGAGGCACAGCTGTCTCTCAAACAAACCCATACGTTACCTACCTGTGTAGTGCCCATTGCGGTCGTAATCCGAGATGAAGTGGTTGATAACAGGCGTGGGGATGATGTACCCGATGTTCTCCGCCTCGTCCCCCCGCATCGACTGGAACGCAATCCCCACACACTCGCCCGCCGCGTTGAACGCCGGCCCGCCCGAGTTGCCCGAGTTGATGGCGGCGTCTATCTGCACTCCCAGCAGCTCTGACGCCCCGTGCACGTACGCTGTCACCTCGATTCGTGACACCACCCCACTTGTGACTGAGATCGTGTCCCCGCCTATAGGGTACCCCACGACGGTCACCGGGTCCTTTGGGGGGGGGGGGGTGGGGGTTCGGGGAGGGGGGAGGTGGAGGGTGGAGGGGGGAGGGAGGGAGAAGGGGAGAGTCGGGGGAAGAAGGGGAGTGAGGGGCCTGGGGATGGGGAGAGTGCTGCCCCCCCCTTCCCCCCCCCCCCCCCCCCCGAGTTGATGGCGGCGTCGATCTGCATGCCGTGCACGTACGCTGTCACCACTATGCGCGATCTGCACGTTATCCAGCGATGCCATGCCTGATGCCAGCGCCGATGCCAGCGCCGATGCCAGCGACCGATGGAGTAGAAGGCGCTGGCATCAGGCGCGCCGATGCGTGGCATCAAGTATTCAACGCCACGCCTGATGTCAGCGCCTTCGACCTCCAACAGCCATGGTGCGCTGGAGTCAAGTGAATTGGTCGGGCGGGGACTCGTCCACATGAACAGGTGCATGCGATATCTGAACCATGCATGCAGGTGTGTGTGGGTGACACCCAACTATACCACAGGTGCACGAGAGATCCGAACTACACCAACAGCATGGAAAAAAAGCAAACCATACCTGGAGGTGCGAGAGAGACCCCAACCGTATTTGGAGGTGCGGGAGAGACCCCAACTGTACCTGGAGGTGCGGAGGAGACCCCAACCGTACCTGGAGGTGCGGGAGAGACCCCAGCTTGAGTGGCTGCACGTCCTTCCAGAACTCATCGTCCTCCACCGACAGCAGCGCTGCATTTAGTATGAGTGCATGGCAGGGGAGGGAAGGAACGCGAATGCAATGCATGAGGGGGATTACCAGAGCGGCGCATGAGAGGGCCAAGGCTGCACATCCTTCCAGAACTCATCATCCTCCACTGACAGCAGTGCTGCGATCCATGAGTTTTGTGGTGAGTGTGTGCGTGACGGGGAGAAGGGGGCCACACGGGTGGGGGAGAGAGTGGGTGAGGAGGGGGGGAATAAGAGGGGTTAAGGAGGGGGGATCAAAAGGACACATGGAAGAGACAGGAAGAAGAACGTATATGGGTTAAAACTAGACGATACCACATACCTCGTTAAAAGTAGGCGAGCACGCATACCTATATCGCACTCTGTGCCCACAGCAAGCACCGTTGCCAGGTACTTGGTGTCTGACCCCCTCTTCTTCACCTTCACCTGCGAGGTGGAGGAGTGGGGGGAGAGCGCAGAGGACGAGAAGAACAAACAGGTTTTTGAGTGTTCAGACGTTTGAAATCTAAAGCGCCAGGTACTTGGTGTCTGATCCCCTCTTCTTCACCTTCACCTGTGGGGTGGAGGGACGGGCGTACAGGGTGTGGAGGAAAAGGAAGGGAACGGAGTTGGCGAGTTGGAGCAACATGGAAGAGAGGGAGGGAGTGCGCAGAAGATGAAAGGAAACAACAGGGTTGGTATCTGATCCTCTCTGCTTCACTTCACCTTCACCTGCGGGGCGGTGACTGTGCTCCCCACCTAACTGTGCTCCCCACCTAACTGTGCTCCCCACCTAACTGTGCTCCCCACCTAACTGTGCTCCCCACCTAACTGTGCTCCCCACCTAACTGTGCTCCCCACCTAACTGTGCTCCCCACCTGGCTGTGCTCCCCACCTGACTGTGCTCCCCACCTGACTGTGCTCCCCACCTGGCTGTGCTCCCCACCTGACTGTGCTCCCCACCTGACTGTGCTCCCCACCTGACTGTGCTCCCCACCTGACTGTGCTCCCCACCTGACTGTGCCTCACCTGAACTTGTGCATCCCCACCTGCGTGTGGTGCTCGACGGAGTGCGCGTTGGTGAGCACACGGCGATTCTCAATTATAAACCCACTGCTGTTGGAACTGTTGGGCGCGCACAGGGAGAAGGAAGGGGAAGGGGGGAGGGAGGAGAGGGAGGCGGGAAGGGAAGGGGACGGAGGTGGTGAACGAGGAAAGAATAAGGAGCGGGTGAGGGAGAAAGGCGGAATGGTGAGAGAAGGGGGAGGAGAATGAGTCAAGGACAGATGGGGGGAACCGAATCACCCAGCCTTTGCAAGCACCCAGTCGTGAACCAACCTACCTGTACTGCCTCTTGCGCTGCCAGGGGAGGGAGAAGTTGGGGTCAGTGTGCACGCAGAACACCTTCACAACCGAGTCCAACGCCTTCTCATCCCTCACAATCCCACTCCCCGCCGCCCCAACCTCATGCACCACCTCCTGCAGCTCCTCCCCACCTCTCCCCGCCCCTCCCGCCGCCCCCCCGCCCCCAGCACCTCCCCCGCCCCTTCCCCCTTTTCCCGCTCCGCCTGCCTCCCCATCAGCATCGATAGGGGGAGCAGGGGACCGCTTCCTGGGGCCTCTTCCCTTCCCCGCGCCTGCCGCTCCCCCTGGGGACATGGGGCGGTCAGGGGATACAAGGCCGGCGCCAGCCTTCCCCCCTCTCCCCCGCGCCCCCCGACCCCGTCCGCGCCCCCCTGCGCCCCTGCTTGCGCCTCCCGCTTCCCCCCTGCCTGCTCCGCGTGCTCTGCGCCCGCCCCGCCGTTGCTGCTCCCTTCCTGAAGGGGATTCCTCGCCGGAACCCCCCTGATCTTCGTCCGCGTCCCCCTCGTCCTCTCTCTCTACAGCCTCGTCGGCCTCTTCTTCCTTTACCGTCTCCTCTGCTTCCCCTTCTTTCCCCGCTTTCCCTGCCTTCCCTGCCTCCCCTCCTTCCCCCGCTTCCCCTCCTTTCCCCTCCTCCCCTTCTTTCCCCGCTTGCCCTGCCTTCCGTGCTTTCCGTGCTGCTGGCGATGCTACTGCCCCTGCTGCTGCTGCGGCCTTTCCTGCAGGTGACGCGGCTGTGGTCAGAAGAAAGGCGAGAGGCGCGAGTGAGACGTGTGCGAGGCACGAGCCTGAATGAAATTGCCATGACATTTGAAATAGAATCTATAACAGCGATCATACGTCAAAACCATTCACATCCCCTCCTCCCCTCCCCCACCCCTCCCGCCTTCCCCATTCCCCCTCCTCCTTCCTCTCTCATCTGTCCAACCCAACCCCCACTTCCCCCCCACCCCCTCCGCGACTCACCTCCCTTGCCCTTCTCGCCCGCCTTCCGTCTCTTAGCGTCCGTCTCTCCGTCTGACGACCCTCGCTTCCTTCCCCGAGGCTTCGGCGACCCTCCGTTCGGCAGGCTCGGAGACTCTCCAGCCTTCTGGCTCCGAAGCTGTCTGCCGGCCTGCCCTGGCGACCCGTCAGCCGCCTGCAATCCAGTTCCAGGAGAACCCGCAGCACGATCCCCAGGAGATTTTCCAGGAGATCTTCTAGGAGATCTGCTTGGCAGCGCAAGCGGTGACGCAACGATGGGAACCTCGGCGACGCTGGGGCTGTCGGAAGCTCCGCGCTGGGAGGCGGGGGAAGCGGAAACCGCGACAGGGGAAGCCTTTCTGCGGGCGGGGGCCTTGCGCGAAGCCCCGCCTCTTTTGGCGCGCGGAGGCATGGCGCAACGCGGAGATGGTCGTCCGGGGATCCGACGGCGGTGATTGGCAACGAGAGGAGTCAATCGTACGGCGTGAAGTAGAAGTAGGCGATTGGCAATTCAACGGTAGAATGGGTCACTGGAACCAGGAGAGAGATTGTATGGAAAGAAAGAAATGAAATTATACGTGGCTTCGAGCTGGACGATGTACTGAAGAAAAAGGTAAACGAAGAAAATACCTGAACGGGCTGTACGGCTGAGATGTAGGCACTTACACGGAGACAAGAACGGCGTGAAGAACCCAATGTCTAAATGCTACGATAGAAACGACGATCGATGTGAGATGCGAAGAGTATCAGGGTGGATCCTAATCAGTAAACCTACTTCACAAGGTCGATCTCGACTGAGCAAGAATTAACATCCGAAACAAGCAGTTCTTCAAACCGCTGTACCTACAATAGTGCCGGGAGGTCCGCCGCTGTCGTTAGTTCTTAGAACTGGCGTTTAGAATGCTTCACGCCGTTCATGCTTCCTGCTTCTGGGGCTGAAACCTCGAGATTTTCCGCCTGGGGATTCTCGAACCTCGAGAAATGGCCAGCCTGATCAGAAACGAGCTTTCATTCAGGACGCGGTGAAAGTGGAGAATCGATCGCCTAAGGTTCGTTTTTTAGCGCGGTTATAAAAGGTTTTGTACCATTCGTGTCCAAAACGCGGGTTTCAGTGCGGTGACCGAATCGATCTACCCCCGATCGAGCACTTTCACCGCGTCCTCAGATTACACCACTGTTTTTCGCGCGCGAAATACGTCACTGAGTGCAAACGGTCCGAAAAGTTTCGCAGACCCTTGTTCCGCGAGCGACAAGGCCAGGGGGAGGGGTGGCGCACAGCGGGGGTTGGGGGGATAAAGATGGCGCACAGTGCGCGGGGAAAGTTGTACGAGTTGCGCTGCGAACTGAGATTGACGGGTTGTCGAATTTCTGTCAATACCGGTCAAAAAGGCTTATCCAATAGCGAACAAGAATGCATATGTTTCACACACTGTAAAGATGTCGATGCTAATTGTATATCGGAAATTCGTGTAGCAGCATATTCCTCCTCACACGCAAGCTGATCACTGCCAGAGTCTTCTGATCACTAAGTTTCCATAGCTCCCAAAATCTCTTCACTTGCATTCGCCACGGCCCACAACCTCTCAGCGGCGCAATTTTAGCTCGTCATGCAATGACAAATGCGCGACTCGCTACTGATATGCACAGCTCATTCTTAGGACACCTCACGTGTTTTGTTCAACAGCAGTAGCGTCGACTTTTTAGCTGATCGTCGAGTCGAAAGGTGGCCAAGCTGGCCAGTAAGCTTCTCGTATTGGTTTGACAGACAAATTGGGGTTGATTTTTTTACAGCCGGGCTCTAGGAGACACGCTGCGCTCTACCATGGCTCCGAATTTCGGAGTGATAGTGCGCGCCGCCTTAGCCGGCTCAGTGGCGGCTGCGGCTAAGATCGGCGGCGCGTTGAAAGCAGCGGGCGGAGTCAAGATTGGGTCCGCCGCCGCCGCTGCCGCCGCGCTAACCGCCGCTGCGACGACGCAGTCTGGGAGCAACGGGCCGGAGGGAACCTCGGGATCTCCGATTGCCCCAGCAGCACCCAAGGCATGATGGAATACCAGTGGGGTGGTCGATCATTAGGACGTCAGCTGAATGCATGCGTTTGTGTAGATTCCCATACAGCATGACCGAACACCATAGCATTTCTAGTGAGAATAGCCGCTCAGTGATTCTTTAGGATGATACGGCTTATCCTTATGACAACCGACGAACTGGAACCAAAGTTGAAGGCTACCGTCATCGCCCGGATATAAGACAGTGTTGAATAGTAGACAGGGGTTGTCTACTATACGGGTGTCTCTTATAAACAGGCAAGCCTTTTTATACGACACCTATTTGTGTGTACGAGATAAGACATATATGTCTTATAATCAGAACCGGGGTTTAGGGGTTTTCTTATAAACAGGGGGTTTAGGGGGGTACATCCATACATTCATGAATCCCTACTTCTACCTAACCCCCCTCAGTAACCGCCTCCTCTGCAGCACTAGCAATAGGCTCTACGCCCAGGTCTGGCACTCGCCAGGCATGCCTAGCCGTCTCCTTTGGCTCGATCATGCGGTCAGCCTCGGCCGCCGCTCCGCGGTAGTTGGGGGTCTCCTGGTACAGCACCTCCAGGCCAGTTGCCACGGCCACCTCCCGCACGCCCTCCGCCTGCATCGCCTCCTCCTCCTCCTCCTCCTCCTCCTCCTCCTCCTCCTCCTCCTCCTCCTCCTCCTCCTCCTCCTCCTCCTCCTCCTCCTCCTCCTCCTCTGGAGCCTTCCGAAGCAGGCGCGTGTTGTCGCCTGTGGTCCCCCCGAGGGACATGTCCTCGGAGACATCGGTGGTGCTCCTGGCGCGCAGGTGAGACATCACCAGGTGGTTCTCCGCTCCGTCCAGCTTGCTGGAGATCCCACAGTGGCGGAACGCGTCGATGACGATCTGCCTGGGGACTTGATCCCAAGCCTCCGCGATCCACTGCAGCACCACGGGGTGCGGAGGCCTCCGCAGGTTCCCTGCGGGTGGGACAGAGGACACGGCAGCGAGATGTTAACGATAAGGACACGAAATAGAGCAGGAATTTAAAATGAACAGCCAACTCACCCTTCTTCGTCTTCAGGTGAATCCCTTCACGCATGAACCACCTGGCGTAGCGCGCTCGCACGGCAGCCTTGAAGCACCGGTTGATGGAGACGTCCAGGGGTTGAATCTGGCTCGTACAACCCGCTGGAATGACTGCAGGGGTGATGCTGTGCGTGCGGTACGACTGAAGCATGGTCTGGGTGATGTGGCCGCGGTAGGAGTCCAACACCAGCATCGCACGCCTCGCGCTCTTGCCGCGCTGGGGGTTCAGATGGGGAAGCACCTCCTTGGACAGCCAGGTCTGCACAGCGCTCTCGTCCATCCACCCGTTGTCCTGTGCTTGGACCACGATTCCTGCCAGGCACACAAGGGACAGACGGACATCAGCACAGTGGGGCACGCTCATGAGGCAGGGGCAAGGTTGAAGTCATGGCGCTTACCGTCCGGAATCTCACAGTTGGGGACGTTCTTCATCTTGAACCACACCCACGGCCGCAGCTTCTCCCCGGATGCAGTGCACGCGAGCATCACCGTCAAGCGCGTCTTCTGGTAGCCTGCAGTGCGGATTGGGACCGAGCGCGCGCCACGGTGCTCGATCGTCCTCTCGGCCGGCATCTCCACGAACAGTGGCGTCTGGTCCGCGTTGATGATACGGGCCAGGTCGATGTTGTGCCGCGCCCTGTTGATGCGCACGAACTTCTAGAAGGACTCGCAGTCCTTCGCGCACTCTGCAAACGGGACAGGAACAGAAGCGAGGGACGGTTAGACAACGAGCAAGGTAAGACATGCATACAACGGGCCGTGCGCGGCACGAACTCCTTATCCACGCACCTGCCGACAGACGTTGTCCGACCTTCGTCTTCACCCACATCACCAGGTTCCAGCGGTCACGGAAACGCTGGCTCCAGTGAGAGCTCGCGTTCCAGTTCTTGCCGGGGTAATGCTTCTTCATCCACTCGCGGCTCCACTTTTGGGTGTCCTTCACCGAGATGGCCACCCCGTTAGCGCGCTGAAGGCAGATGTAGCGGTACAACGCTGCCTCCATGTCGGGGTAGTGTGCGTGGCGGCCCCCCCCGTGCATCCGCTTGCGGCAGTTAGCCGCGCCCTTGTAGATGCCCGCAGCCGCCTCCGCGCACCAGCGTCTGATGCAGGCGACGCTCGCGGTTGACTCCAAGCTAGTCTTCTTCAAGGAGCCGAGCTCCTGATAGCGGCGCGCCCACTTAACCTTCTCACGCACGGTCCAGCCGCGGCGCTTCTTCGTAGTGTCTTTGCTGCGAGGGGAAGGTGGGCGGGTGTTGGGATTATGGAGGGTGGGGTCCTTCGGCGCCTCCTTCTCAGGGAACGTGGGAATCGGGCCCGCCGCCGCCGCGTACTCATCGTCGCTGCCCAACGCCTCGTTGACGATGATGTCGTCAGGATTCGGCGCCTTCTTCGCCTTTTTCTTTGCCGCACCCTTGCTGGATCCAGGGTCTCCGTCGTCCTTGTGCTTCTTGTTGCTTGTGCGGCCACGAGCAGGGGCCTTTGCAGGGGCCTTAGCAGGGGACTTAGCAGGGGCTTCCACGACCTTTGCCTTTCCCTTCTCCGCAGCGGTGAGTAGGGGGCGACGCTCCTCCCCGGGACTGTCGTCGTCACAGAGCACCACGCGGGTGCGCTTCGTCGTGGACTGTAGGCGATGGCGCAGCCTCCGCTTCAGTAGCGGAACGTCGTCGTCTGTCCCAAGGCGCCACGGGTCGTCGTCGTCGCCCTCACCCTCAAATAAGACGGCATCCGCAGCCACCTTGTTCGCCTCCGCCACCGCGTCCGCATCCGCAGGCGCCTCTGTCTCGAGTTCCGCCGCCGCCTCGTCGGCAGCCTCATTCGCATCCACCGCCGCTTCCTGTGCCTCCGCGTTGTCACCGCCAGCATCTTCACCTCCGTCGTTGTCGGAATCACCAGCCCGCCACTCTTCCACATCGTCGTCGCTCCCGACCGGCTGATTCCACCATTCGTCCTCCTCGATGTCGGCAGTACCAAATTCGTCGCCCGAAGCGCTGTCATCGTGGCCGTTCTCCGGCCAATCCTCCTCGGCGTCGTCGCCGTGTGCTTCGTCTCCGTCTTCCCCGTCACAGCTCGCACCGGAGGCGGCGGTAGGACTTCCCGCCTTGCTCGCGTTCTTCGCCATGGCTACGCGGATGTCATCGCCGGGCGAGTTAATTCGCCCGTAGTTATTCACCTGCACGTGAGGACGAGGTGAGGACTTGCCTAGGGGTACCTTGCTGCGCATGGTTAGAGAGCCTGCCGAGAGCAAGGTTGAGGTGAGAATTCAACCTCCATGAGCACCAAATGAAGTGAAAGCCCGACTACCCCCCCCAGCCAGAGTGCCCCATCCACAGGTGTCGAGCCGCTCCTCTACGAGGCATCTCCTCGTAGAGGACAGCCTGACGCTGCCAACGTGCTGCCAGCAGCGTTCTGGAAGCTGCCATGCGCTGCTGGCAGCAAAACGACGCTGGCAGCATCATTAGATGCTGCCAGCACAGAGGAATCTTGCCAGCGGTGGCAGCTTTGCTGCATCACCACCGAGGTCGGCCTGTTTCAATGAATCTGGTCCCTGGGTGTTTTCTACACACTTTGCAAGTGTTACAGTCAACTTATTTTTTTTTCCATTTATAAGAATTATAAGACACCCTAAACCATCCCGTTTACAAGATAGCTCAAGCATTTTTGCCCGTGTACGAGATAAGACATATATGTCTTATATCCGGGCGATGACGGTAATCAATTCATAGAGTTTCACAAGTGCACACTACGTGTTTGTACATCCCCATGTGTTGGCTGTGCCTGGCTGGTGTGACTGGGGAGGGAGGGACACGCACAGACTGTCTGCTGCCGCTGGTGCCCTCTGTACTGCTCCTGGTGCTCTCTGTGCTGCCGCTGGTGCCCTCTGTGCCATAGCTGATGGCGAGCCATGGGAAGAGGAAGAGGTCCGGATGGCCCTGCATGTATGTACAGGCTCGCCCAGTACCACGGCTGGTGGGCCCTACATGTTGGCTGTGCCCGGCTGCTGTGGCTGGGGCTGAACACGCATAGACAGTCGGCTGCCACTGGTGCTGGTACCGGTGCCCTCCATGCTGGTGCTGGTGTGGGTGCCCTCCGTGCCATAGTTGATGGCGAGCCATGGGAAGAGAAAGAGGTCCGGATGGCCCTGGTGGATGTGCAGCGTGCACAGCAGCACATGGCACATGACATCATGGCACAAGAGACATGACATCATGTCATCATGGCATATGACACATTGTACATGGAACGTGCCACATGGCACACAGGGAGCAGCACACGGCACATGGTTCGCATTAAGAGATGCAACGTGAACAGATTAAGAATCAATCAATATACACAACCAGATGCTTCTGTTCCTCCAGCCTACACCTTGCAATCACTCTCTTGCACCTTCTCACATGCTCTTAGCCATTTATCAGCACCTGCCTCACAGCCTACGACAATCCTTCCTCACATCTCAATATCTAGCATATGAATGACGAGCATTGAATGAGACATCTAAACCACTCTGAATCTGCCTGGTATCGTCGTGAGATGTCTAAACCGGTCTGCACCTGCATGGACCTTTCAACTCACCAGGTGAGAGACGTTAGCGAAGGGTGATTTGCTCCATTGGAACGGCGGCTGCTGGTCGTATGTGGGCCCGCTTATTGCGAGCGCTGCCAAGCTGTGCTGTAACATCTGGTACCTGCAGGCATGGTTATGGTTACATTCATGGATAGAATTTTGGTTATGGTTGTGTATATGTATAGATGTATATGGTTATCATTATGCCTATGGTAACGAGCAACACAAATGAGGAGTTATACTGCAAGGGCTGTCTGGCTGGGATGTAACATGTGGTAAAGGCAGAGATGGTTATGATTATGAACAACACACAGAACAAACCTTTCTCAGCATGACTATGGCATGGCAATGATGTGGTAATGACATGGTGATGGAACATGGGATTGAGATGGTGAGAACAAGGTGATGACATGGTTATGACATGGTGATGATGTGGCGGTGAAAGGTGATAATGTGAAGATGACATGGCAATGATGACATGGCTCAAGAAGCATGGTCGTGCACAATTGCCCGGTAATTTTGGGTGCGTGAAACCTGGTAACAAAGGGTGCGTGAAACCTGGTAACAAAGGGTGCGTGAATTTGGCTAATCTGACAGTTGCAAGTCAGGGTAAATCGTAGACTTACCCGGTTATTTTGGAATCGGTCTCAGCATGGTCCCTGAGGCCCAGGAACGGCAACTCATACTGCCCATCCGCCTCGTTCAAATCCCCACGTGCGGCAATTGCAATCTCTGATTGGCCAGGAAAAGGGCAGGGTGAGAGAAGCTTGAAATGGCTGCATGCTTTCTTGTGAAATGATTGGGAGCGAAATTGACGAATGCATTGGAATGAAGAGAGAGAGGGACAGAGAGGGGAACGATGATGTGGAAAGGCAGAGGAGAGAATAAGGAGAGCGAAGGGAGGAGAGGGCGAGGAGGAGGGGAAAACAGAGTGCGAGAAGGCAAGAAGAGGGATGAGGGAACGTGCCTGCAGAGTGGGGCGGGGTGCAGTTGCAGGCGGAGAGCGGGTCGTGCTTGAAGTCATTGTATCGCATGAGGCGCTGCAGTGATGCCACATCCACCACCTGATGGCAGCACGAGGGCGAGGGCACATGGTTTAGGGAGCATTCGGCCATGGGAGTGTAGGGCCGGGGCATGTGCACACAGCAGGACAACACATGCAGTTGCAGGCAGAGATCGGGTCGTGCTTGAAGTCGTTGTATGGCATGAGGCGCTGCAGCGACGCCACGTCCACCACCTGATGGCAGCACGAGGGCGCAAGGGGTTACATGGGCATGTGCGCACGGGGTTACATGGGCATGTGCGCACGGGGTTCCATGGGCATGTGCGCACGGGGTTACATGGGCATGGGCGCACGGGGTTACATGGGCATGTGCGCACGGGGTTACATGGGCATGTGCGCACGGGGTTACATGGGCATGTGCGCACGGGGTTACATGGGCGCACCAGCCCACTTGCCCACCCACCCACCCACCCACCCACCCACCCACCCACCCACCCACCCACCCACCCACCCACCCACCCACCCACCCACCCACCCACCCACCCACCCACCCACCCACCCACCCACCCACCCACCCACCCACCCACCCACCCACCCACCCACCCACCCACCCACCCACCCACCCACCCACCCACCCACCCACCCACCCACCCACCCACCCACCCACCCACCCACCCACCCACCCACCCACCCACCCACCCACCCACCCACCCACCCACCCACCCACCCACCCACCCACCCACCCATACACCCACTGACCCACCGACCCAACCATCCGCCCGCCCACCACCCACCCACCTTGCTGTGGTCCCTGCGAAACAGCTTGGCCCGGGGGCACTGCGAGTGGGAGAACCACGAGCCATGGCGCCGCTCTGATGGACGGGTGTGGTGTGGTGTGGTGTGGCATAACATGGTATATCTGATATCATAGTACGGGACAGTGAGGCATGGTGTGGCATGGTGTGGCATGGTGTGGCACGGTGTGGCACGGTGTGGTATTGTGCATGGCATGGAATGGCAGGTGAGCAGGATGCGCATAAAGGGCGCATGCAGGATGCGCATAAAGGGCGCATGCAGGATGCATTAGATCACTCTGATTCAGAATGGCCACCGTGCCACCCAGGTCAGCATATCCACTGAGATTGAAAATGGCAGGGAGACTTTTGAGTCGACTCAAAAGTCACCTCGGCGGGGAAGGCTGGGTTGTTGTACGACGCCTAATAGCCCTCCCACCGCAGGTGGGCGCTAGTGAGGGTACCACTTGGGTAGCACAAGTTTGAGCTGCAGGGGATTCGGATGCGAGGGGTCAGTTGAGCTTCCATGATGTGGAGTCAACTCAGAAACAGCCTACCCAGGTCAGCGAATCCACTGAGGTTGAAAATGGCAGGGAAGGCCGGGTTGTTGTATGATGCCCAGTAGCCCTCCAATCGCAGGTGAGCGCTCATATCCTCCGCTACAATGTGCCTGCAGGTACGGACGGTTGGAAGAAGGGGTGGAATGCCGGGTTGTTGTACGATGCCCAGTAGCCCTCCGATCACAAATGAGCGCTCATATCCTCCGCTACAATGTGCCTGCAGGATGTATTCAAGGCGCCTCAAGAATCGTCTGATGCTGGCCTACACGTGCCACAAATGACCTACCCCATATAACACCTACCCCACGCAACACCTATCCCGGCAGCTGCTGCAACCAGACGGTGTGATCCGGGGGAGGCAGGCCTGGCTGAAAGAGCTTGTAGTCCAATCCGCCACCATCCACTGGTTGTTGTACGTGCCGTGCCGCTGTTGTGCCACATACGCCTTACCCCACATAACACCTACCCCGCATGGGGCCTACCCGAGCGGAACATTGAAACCCACCCTGGCAGTTGCTCAAGCACCCAGAGGGTGTTATCTGGGGGAGGTAGGCCTGGGTGAAAGAGCTTGTAGTCCACGACCATCCACTGGTTGTTGTACGTGCCGCTGTTGTGCCGCGAGAATACGTCCACCCATTGCCGCCCGCTGCTCGCCACCCGGTTGGCCACCACGTTGCGAATCCACTCCAGGACCTGCGGGTGGCGAGAGAGAGGGGGGGGAGGCAATAAAGAGGGGAGAGAGGGAGGAGAGAGAGGAGAGGGAGAGGGAGAGGGAGAGGGAGAGGGAGAGGGAGAGGGAGAGGGAGAGGGAGAGGGAGAGGGAGAGGGAGAGGGAGAGGGAGAGGGAGAGGGAGAGGGAGAGGGAGAGGGAGAGGGAGAGGGAGAGGGAGAGGGAGAGGGAGAGGGAGAGGGAGAGGGAGAGGGAGAGGGAGAGGGAGAGGGAAGAGTGAATTCTCAAATGCCACCTGGTTGGCCACCACGTTGCGAATCCACTCCAAGACCTGCGGGCAGGGAGAGAGGGAAAAGGGAGGGGTGGAGAGCGAGGAAAGAGGGGAGGGAGGGGGAAGAGGGAATTATCAGATGCCACTTGGTTGGCCACCACGTTGCGAATCCACTCCAAGACCTGCGGGCGGGGGGGAGGGGGGTGGGGAGATGGAGGGAGAGGGAGGGCGAGAGCAACATTGGGAAACAATAGAAGGAAGAAAAGAAAACATTGGAGATTGGAAAACGCATGCCTTGGGAACACAATTTCTGGGGGGTGATGAAATGCCATGTTGGTTGGACGAGAAAAGAAACAACTCAGAGTTAAGACTTGCTCACACACACCCATTGCCCCACCCACTGCCCCCTTACCACACACACACACCCATCTCGCACATCAGCACACAGCAATCGACATCGACTCACGGTGACATACAGTGATTGCCCCACCCGCTGTCCCACACATCACCACACGTGCCATGAGTTGACTGGCTCACCGTGCCATGAGTTGACTGGCTCACCGTGCCATGAGTTGACTGGCTCACCGTGCCATGAGTTGACTGGCTCACCGTGCCATGAGTTGACTGGCTCACCGTGCCATGAGTTGACTGGCTCACCGTGCCATGAGTTGACTGGCTCACCGTGCCATGAGTTGACTGGCTCACCGTGCCATGAGTTGACTGGCTCACCGTGCCATTGGCCCGCACGTAGCGCCGGTACAGCTCCGCGTTGTTATTCCCTATGGTGGTCTCCTGGTGACACGTGGCAGTGCAAGCAGACAAAGACACGTGGTAACCAACGGAGGTGGGAGGAGCGGTCAGACAACAAGGTGCGAGTGGGTGGCACCATCTCAATTACATGCGATCATCTCGAGCATCTCGATCAGATGTTTGTTGCTGCTGCATTCCAATCGAGTGGGTGGCATGGCACCATCTGATATGAATTACAAGCATCCATCCAATGGAGCATGCATGCATGCATCAGCTATGCGCAGCAGCATATCCAAAGAAGCAAACAACGCATGTCACCACAACAAGTGCGCTGCTTACATTTTGCCTAATGATGTTGAAAGCACGTGTTTCCACCTTCCCCTGCCTTTCCCCTTCCCCTGTCTCCCCGCTTCCCCTCCCTCCCACCTTCCCCTGCTTTCCCCCACCCCCACGTCCCTACCTACTTCCTGGCACCAGTGACTCGAGTATAACTGTTAAAGTAACACACGAAATAGCTTCTGGCACCCCATAGGATACCTGAATTGCCAGCCTGGCACTAGTGATGTGTGTACATACATTACATCTGATGCACCCCATGAGTTACCAGAATCGCCAGCCTGGCGCTGGTGATGTAAAAATCGTCGCCGGAAAACAGACGCCCAGGATAGCTGGCGAACGACATGGCACGACCCGGGATGACATCGGCAGCTGACGTGGCAGCAGCAGCAGCAGCAGCGTTGACGTTGATTGGTGGATTGAGTTGGAATGAGAAATCGTAGATCCTGGCAGGAGGGTGAGTGAGAATAAATATGAGAGTAGGGTGAGTGAGAATAAATATGAGAGTAGGGTGAGTGAGAATAAATATGAGAGTAGGGTGAGGAAGCAATAGTGCAGGTCGGGGTACATGAAAAAGAACGGGGGAGATGAAGAATAGAGAAGGGCAAAACAAAGGAGGGAGGACGGGACGGGAGAAAGAAACGATATAGGCCGCAAGGGGCGCATAAACCACACGGCGAAGTGGCTCATAGATGTGATGTGACGCATGGTCTCGACTCGAGGCAGCAGATGAGAAGGGACGCAGGGCATAGTGGGCACGGGGGCAGAGCATGGGAAGCATGCGGGGCATGTGAGGGCATAGGGGCGGCATGGGGGGCATGTGAGGGCATAGGGGCGGCATGGGGCCTAGCGGACTGACTTGTAGATGCGAAGCATGGTCTCAAGGCGAGTCCACGTGGCTTGAGCTGTGAGCAGGTCAGCATTGCCAGGCAGTAGCTGGCGTGGTGGTGTGCGGGACACAGGGGTGCAGGGCAGGGCATGGGTGGTGCAGAGCAGAGCAAGCATATGGGGTGAAGGGAAGGGTAGGGAAGAAACGTCATGCATGCAGACGAAAACTGTTTCCCGGAAGAACGACCGCGTGCTTAAAAGGTGGAAACAAACTGATCTTAAGCTTGAGATAAGTCTGCCAAAACAGACTCACCTTGATGATGGCAGAGCACGCATCTGGGAAGATGAGCATAAGCCTTTCCTTCTCACTCTCGCTCCCCTTGCTGCCGCCCCCACTGCCGCCCCCATCTGCTGCATCGCTCCTGCTTTCACTCTTGTCCCCATCCGTATCAGTGCTGGCACGGTCCGCGTGTGCAGCATGTGCTATATCGAGTACGTACTGTAGATCTTGGATGTCCCCGTGCAGATTCAAGATGTCAAAGTCGATGGCTGGTGGCGGGCGGGTGAGCGGTGGAAAGGAGTGCAGTGCAGTGTGGGGTGAAAGGTTGAAAAATATGCGATCTCGTGACATGAAGACTGGAGGGTAGACGCGAATAACGAGGGGGCATGTGACGAGAGGCCGTATAGGTTTCTGGAATCAACAGGCCCATGCATTAGTCCATGGATGCATGGATGTATGGATCGCATGCATGTGTGCATGCATGCATAAATTCGCATGCATGGGCATGAATGTGTTTTCATTACATTCGCATAGATGTGCAGAAACTCGCATGTTTTGCACGAAAGTGCATGGATGGATCCGCATGCACGTGCATGCATGAATGCATCTCACCTTGCAGCCGCTCTTCAGGCGTGACAGCGTCGTTAAAGCCCATGTGCAGCCCTCGCACCTGCTCCAGCACCAGACCCACCTGCCATAGCGTGCGAGGAGATGAGGGAAAAGGAGGCGAAGCGGGACCCAAGGTTGTTTAGCACGATAGGCCAGGCCGCGGCTAGAGCAACCAAATCCGAAGCTGTTGGAACGGACTGGTCATGGGTAGAGCACGGAGCAGATCTCTCTCACCCTCCTGCGCGCCAATTCCCGCTCCCAACCCCCCTACCCTCCCCACTCCCCTCTCCCCCACCCCCCTTTCCCCCCACCTGCCACCAGAACGTCCTATCCTCGTCTGCCACGTCACCAGCCTCGGCGGCAGCGACAATATCCTCCATATAAGCGCGATTCGTTTGCAGGTACTGCAGCAGGCGCGGGGAGCGTTTTAACTTGCCGAACTCGTTAACGAAATGCTGCTGCATGGGGAGTGACGTCAGCTGCCCCTCCGCGTATCCCGCTGCAAACGCCTGATCCTTGCTGGAGCAGGAAGAATTGGTCACTACGGACAAGAAATGCCACCCAACGTGGAGCATCGACTCTTGGAAAACACCCCACGCACACTCTGCTGCTCCGGATCCCCCCCGTTCCGCACGCTCCCCTTCCCCCTGCCCCCCCTCCTCCTGCTTCCGCAACTCCTGTTCCCTCTCCCCTTTCCCCCTGTTCCCTGCTCCCCCTTGCTCTTCCCGCTCCGCCTCTATTCGGCGCTCCGCAAGCCCCTCCCCGAATTCCGCCCGCGCTTTCTCTTTCTGAATCCATGGACTTTCTGTTTTCCTCTTCGTAACTCTAACGGACGTGACTTCGCCAGAAGAATCTCTTTCTAGAATCACACCCAAGCGAATGGCGTGCGACGGGAGCGAGGACTCTGACGACTGCCACGTGGCGGAACGCAAGTGGCTGTTGAAGTTCCCCGCAGATACCGAACCGAAGGGACGGGACGCTGCTCGAACCGTGCTAACGGCGAGCGCGAGGATCAAGAAACAGAAGCAAGAGATGCGAAGGCACGCTGTGAAAATTCCTGCAAGCCCCACGGAAAGCGAGGGCGCCATGACGAGAAATGCTGCTCCTTGTTGCTGTTGCTGCTGCCGACGACGACGATTAGGATAGGCGCCGAGGCGACACGCGACGGCGGTCACGGAATTTACTGAATTTGGAGGAGCATGCAGATTTCTATTCTTAATCGCCTCCAATAGAGAATCCGCTAACATGAAAGGAGGAACACTAAAGAAAAACTGACATACCGTTAAATATATTCGAGATTGAAAACGAGGGTGCAGAGTTGAAGAAAATGCAATGATGACTCTTTGGCTAGTCAGCATCGTGTATGCCGTGGAGTGGAGCATTGGAAATGCTAAGAAATAATTATTGATCATTTATCATTCGCCACGTTGGTCATGTTCCGTAGATGGGTTGTTACCAGTTTACTACACAACATGCTATAACCCCCGGCACGGGGATTTTGTTCATCAGAGGGACGTCTAAGCATTTGTGATACCAAAATGCCTCGGGTCGGGTTAGAATTGACACTACAGTGAATTATCGTAGCTGGAAGTTACCCAGCTGTCTCTCGTAACAACTCCTTGAGTGTAGCTTTGTCCTCTTGCTTGCTGAGGAAGGCATCAAAGCTGGTGACAGGTGCGAGTGAGAGAGGGATGGAAGGGGGATGGTGAGGACCAAAGATCAACAGGGACAAGAATAAGAATATAATCGACAAGAAGCAGTGTTGTTTCTGATTGACAAACCAAGAGAAAAAGCGGAGTCGGAGGAAAGGGCTGAAGACGGGCGATCTGGTTACCAGACGGAAAAACGACCGAAGGCACAGCAGCGAGAGAAGCAGTGACCTACCTTGCCAGCAAAGGCAAGCAGAGACTTACCCTGCGAGCAGCGGCAGCTGGTTGGAGGCCGCAAAAAGTGACGCCAGTGAATGCAGCAGGTCAGTGCGAGTGGCCAACACTGCACCACCACTCATCACCGCTCCAACGCCCACTGGAACCACTGCTGCTGGCTGAGAAGAAGGGGAAAACACGGGCTGCTGCTGCTGCTGGTTTGGGGGCTGCCGAACCTGCGCTCGGCTTTTTCGGAACTCCCGGAGCAGGCGGAGGAAGGTTTGGAAGTCGGGCGGGGGCAGGGAGGTTTGCACCACACTGAGGTACTCGCGTGCCCGCCTGCTCTCCTCCTCCTTCCTGGCGAGGCTTTTTTTAACACCGTTCCCTTCCCTGGTTGCAAGACTCCCTGCACCACTCCCTTGCAAACCTGCTGCTCCTCTGCTGCCTGCACCATCCACTTCCCTGGTGGTAATGCTCACTGCACCACCCACTTCCCTAGAGGTAGTACTCTCCTGGCAACTTGCTGCTCCTGTGCTTCCAAGGGACGCTACTGCTACTTGGCTTTCATCCCTCGCGCATGCTGAAGAGTCTGCGCTCCTAGAGATTCCTCTACTGTCCCGCTGCAGTTCCATCGCTGCAGCTTCAGGACCGGAACGCTGCAATTCCACTGCTGCAGCTTCAGGCCCAATCCGAGGTGGTAGACCACCAGTGCCACGACCAGAGGGCTCTCTCAGGCATTCCTCCTCATTGCCCTCTACTGCCCGTTCCCCTGCTTCTTCTGCTTCTCCTGCTTCTCCTGCTTCTCCTGCTTCTCCCGCACCTGCTATTCCAATGCCAAGGTCACCATCACAATACTCGTTCCGTTCTCTTCCATTGCTGCTGCCCATCCCCCTCCTTATTGGATCTGCACCCCCTATCCCCATCTCAGCATCTCCGATGCTCATCTCTGCATCTCCACCGTTCATCCTCATCTCTGCATCTCCAACCTTCATCCTCATCTCTGCATCTCCACCGTTCATCCTCATCTCTGCATCTCCACCGTTCATCCTCATCTCTGCATCTCCACCGTCCACCAGCCTCCTTGCACCTTCACCCTTCGCCCTCCCTGCTCCTCCCCTTCCCACTCCACCTCTACCCTCCACACGCCCATCCCGCCCTCCTGCCTCAGCTCGCCTCCTCTTCCCCCTTCCCCCCTCCACCCCTCGCCTCTTTATATGCGCTCCAGGCGAATGGGGGCCAGGAGAAGCAGACGGCAATGGGGAAGCAGAGAGCACAGGGGTGAAGGAGCAAGGTGGAGCAGCAGCAGGGTCGGCTGGTGCGTAGTCTTGAGTCAGGTCAATGACGGGAGAAGCAGGGGAGACACAGTTCGTAGCAGACGGGAGAGGAGAGGGCGCAGTGGGGGAGCAGAAAGCAGAAGCAGCAGCAGAGTCGGGCGATTCACAGTGTTGAGTCAAGTCAATGGCGGGGGAATCAGGGGAGACGCATTTCGTGGTTGACTTTCGTACAGTGGTGGAATAAGGCTGGGATGCTGCTCGAAGCTGGGAAGGCTGTTGGTGCTGGGTCGCTGGTGGGTGATCAGCACAGCGTGCTTGTGGTCTCATGGGTGCTGCTGGTCGTGTGTTTGAGTCATCCTGCTTGCATGCATTCTGCTGCTGCGCTTGAGATTTCTCAAGAGAAGATGATGATACATATGCAATAGGCGCAGGCTGGTGTCTGTTCACATGGGCACGAGCAGCAGCAAGGAGTGAGGAGGCGGAGGCGACAGGGGTGCGGGGAATGGTGGGGGAGAAGAGAGAGGGCACTCGCGAGTTCTGTTGTGAGGGACGGGCAGGCATGGGATACGAATGAGGATGGGAAAATGGATAGGTTGGTGCAGTGAAAATGGAGGAGGCAAGGAGGAATATACAGAGCGAAAAGCAGATTGTTTGGGATGTTGCAGAGCAAAGGATATTGAAAACCTTGCAGCAATCCCTAAACAAACAATTGTCCTGCAAGACACACACATCTCTGCTCAAGTCACTCAACTACGGTGACAAGTGCTGAGTCATATCTGGATATGAGCGCCTTGACTCGCGCCTTGACTACACCCTACACACAGAGTGTGAGTGACACCCCCACTAGCTTACCACACAGACATTACTGAAGTGCGTAACCTGCGATATCATAACATTAAAGCCATACCACACTCACCCCCACAATGCTTACTCCCCTCCACGCACCTTCCCTGCCGTGCCACCCTCAAGCTTCACCTCTCCACCAGCCTGCCTCCTGTCAACGCCTCCTGCACCATTTCTATCTCTGTCAACACCCTCGGTCCCATCACCACCGCTCTCTTGCCCCCTTGTGGCTGCTCCCTGCCGCCTTGCTGCCGATACCTCATTGGCTGCTGGCACCAGCAAGGGGTCTGGCGTCATGTGGGTGGGGGAGTGCAGCAGGTGAGATCATACAGGACAAGCTGTGGCAACTCTTGAAAGCGGGGAGCACATACATGAGGTAGCTAGCTACACATGGTGGATGCCCGCCCACTGCCCATTGCCCACTGCTCGTGCCTTAGTCACATTGCACGTGCTCAACCGTGCTACACGTTATTGGATCCTGCTGGGTACTGCAGGGTAATGCAGGGTACTGCAGGGTAATGCAGGGTACTGCTGGGCTTGCCTCGGAGCAACCTACCTGCGTCTAGCAGGGACCAGCTGGACGGGAATGGTGGGGTGACGTTCACTCCTGACAGACCAGCAGCAGTAGCAGCTTCTGCTGCGTGCTTTTGTCACTTTTGTTAATTCTTGAAATTGACACAAGCGCAACCTACCTGCATCTAGCAGGGACCGGTTGGAGGGGAACGGAAAAAAGACGTCTATTCCGGACAGAGCAGCAGCAGCGGCTTCTGCAGCGTGCATGGTGCTCATGGGGCACGCGCCGGTGGTGGGAGTGGTGGCAACAGCATGTGAAAGTGACACAAGCACGCACAACCTACCTGCGTCTAGCAGGGAGCGGCTGGAGGGGAACGGAGGATAGACGTCCACCCTTGACAGACCACCTGCAGCGGCTTCTGCAGCGTGCATGGTGCTCATGGGGCACGCGCCGGTGGTGGGCGCAGCAGAAGCGGCATGAGGATGCATGTGGGTGGGCGAATGGGAGGGGCTTGGGGCGATGGGGTCTGGGCAGGCGGGCTTGGAGTGGGCTCCGTTGGGCTGGCTGCGGAAGAACTTGGTGAGAGAGAAGGCCGCCTCGCCGAACCCACTGTACACCTGATGGGGGAGAAGGAAGGGGGAGTGATTGAGAAAGGAAGGGTAGGCTTGAGGCTAGCTGTATTGGATTGGTTCTTATTCGGTTGTGGTGTGGGGCTGCTTTGGAGTCGAGTCAAGATGAGAGAGGCTCCATTGAAACGAGAAGCGACATTGAATCCACATACAGGATAGGCCAGAAGTCGCCAATGCTGAAAGGAGGGTCAGAGGAGAGCATAGGGAGTGAACGAGCTGAAGAGGGAAGAAGGTGAGCAAATACAGCGAAAGAATCCGATGGCGGAGGTGTTGACAGCGGATGGCACGAGAAGAGAAAGTAGGACCAAGAAGGGCATGGAGAGAGGAGGGAGGCACCTTGAGAGCCGGGCGGATCCACATAGAGAGACGGTCCTTCAACTTGGGCTCTGCGAACCTGATTGGGGGGGATGGGCACATGGGGCAGATGGGGCAGATGAGCAAAGATGGGGACAGATGGGAGAGATGGAGCCGAAAGGGCAGATGGAGCGGACGGGGCAGATGGGGGAGATGGGGTCAGTGAATCACCTCTACCGTTTTGTGTTCTACCCGTCCCTTTCCCAACCTCCCCCTGCCCACCTCCCCCTGCCCACCTCCCCCTCAAGCCCACCTCTCATCCAGCAGGATAATCGAGCCAAAGTCGTTGCGGTGGCGAATCACTCGCCCCACTGCCTGGTTCACGGCTCGTATGGCGTCGAGCGTGTACCACTGCGCTCCTGATACTGGCGACTGGGAAGTGAGAGCGGAGGGAGAAGAAGAAGCGGGAGAGGAGGCAGTAGAGGGGAAGCATGGGGGAAGGGAGGGAGGGGAATCACTCGCCCCACTGCCTGATTCACGGCCCTTATGGCGTCAAGTGTGTACCACTGCACCCCTATACAGGCGACTGGTGGGATAGAAGGGATGAAGGGCGGCAATTGAGAAGTCATAAGTGGGATGAAACCTGCCTGCCCGCCCTACTGCCTGACAACATCCGGCAGCTAACAAACCAGGCCACAACATAGCACCTAGCCAGCGCAGTCAAGGCTTGCTGGTGTTGTAGCATATTCACGCTGGGCGGCATAGCAAGTAACGAGCACATGTGCTTACAATGGCGGCAGAATTGGAGGCAAAGGCGTCTGGATGCTGGTACAGGTGGTGCTGGTGGGCCGTCACCCGTTCGTCCAAATATTCTTTCTTCAGCACCACCTGGTGGGATTGAATTGAGAGAGACAAACGAGCACTGATTGATGATGGTGCTGGTGGGAGGTTCTGCTGGTCCAGGTGGTGCTGGTGGGCCGTGACGCGTTCGTCCAAATATTCTTTCTTCAGCACCACCTGTGGGGTTCGCGAGCGAGAAATAGAGAGAAACGGAAAAAAGACGGTAAGATACTAAATTATAATAAAGCATCAAAGGCTAACACTATAAATTGATACAAAGCATTCACGTTCAAGCCACCTCAAACTCTGACGACTGACCTGCGGGCTGAGCTGCTGAGCGTACGGGATGCCCGTGATAACGACGGCACGCGATAGATGATCGGCAAAGTCAATTCCCTCGCTCACCTGCTCAGGGCAACGGGGTTTTAAGTGCGATCCGATAGTTTTTGCATTTGAGCTGAATGCATGAATACATAGACGCAAAAGTCAATACATGCATGCTTGCTGGCACATGTGAGTGCTGGAAGCATGGATGCATAAGTCAATTCCATACACACGCCATGCATGCATGGAAGCGGGAACTTGATATGGCACCATCGGACTAGCTTCTACACGTCTCAGCCAGAACACAGTAACCACCGATTGGAAAAGCACCAACAAAGGTAATATTTCTGTCCGCTTGTAAAACTGTATGGGAAGTTCTGAAACAGTATCAAAAGCATGTACTCACCTTGCCCCTCCCTGCACACGCTCACCTTGCCCCTGCACACGGCAAACAGCACAGCGCCCTTTGACCCCTCCGCCTCTAGCTTCCTCACATAGTCCTGATGGGTGGGGATGGGTGGAGAGGGGGTGAACAGGGCACAGGAGAAGAGAGGGTCTGGACAGGGGAAAAGGTAGTGTAATATTCTTGTTTCTAGATGCAGTCTTGATGAGTGAGGAGAGGGGGCTGGTCACCCTTTCTAGCTAGAGAGGAGAGGGGGCTGGTCACCCTTTTTAGCTTCACCAGCCATGTTCTCCTCCCTAGTCGATCCTATCTTGGTGGCATGACCAGGAACATCTTGTTCCCTTCCCAGACTTGACCAGACAAAGTAACCTCGCTTCCTGGCTCGACGAAGCACAACCCAACTCTTACTGAACCCACCTCCCTAGCCGAACCTACCTCCCTGGCTTCAGCAAGCAGTGCCGAGTCCCGTGGCTCCACCACAGCCTGCTTCTGCATGCCGATGCGCTGCCACACCGATAATGCTGCCGAATCGTGCCGCCCTGCAGGCTGGGCGGCAGCGAGAGTAAGGGATGGAGGGAAGGAGGTGGTGGGGAAAAGAGAGACAGAGGGAAGATAGAATGATCGATGGGTGATTGGCAGCAGAAGCATGATCAGCAGGCAAATGATGATGACAACGGGGTAAGTTTTTTCCACTGGTCTGGTCTGTTCTTTCCACATAAACTGTACCGCACGAATACACACTGCACCGCACGCACGTACACCACACCGCACGCACACACGCTTCACCGCACGCACATACGCTGCACGGCACGCACATACGCTGCACGGCACGCACATACGCTGCACGGCACGCACATAGGCTCCACCGCACGCACACTGCACCGCACGCTCATACGCTGAACCGCATGCTCATACGCTGCGCCGCCCGCTCATACGCTGCACCGCCCGCTCATACGCTGCACCGCACGCTCATACGCTGCACCGCACGCTCATACGCTGCACCGCACGCTCATACGCTGCACCGCCCGCTCATACGCTGCACCGCACGCTCATACGATGCACCGCCAGCTCATACGCTGCACCGCTCGCTCATGCGCTGCACCGCACGCTCATACCCTGCACCGCTCATACGCTGAACCGCACGCTCATACGCTGCGCCGCCCGCTCATACGCTGCACCGCCCGCTCATACGCTGCACCGCACGCTCATACGCTGCACCGCACGCTCATACGCTGCACCGCACGCTCATACGCTGCACCGCCCGCTCATACGCTGCACCGCACGCTCATACGATGCACCGCCAGCTCATACGCTGCACCGCTCGCTCATACGCTGCACCGCACGCTCATACCCTGCACCGCTCATACGCTGAACCGCACGCTCATACGCTGCGCCGTCCGCTCATACGCTGCACCGCCCGCTCATACGCTGCACCGCACGCTCATACGATGCACCGCCAGCTCATACGCTGCACCGCCCGCTCATACGCTGCACCGCCCGCTCATACGCTGCACCGCACGCTCATACGCTGCACCGCCCTCTCATACGCTGCACCGCCCGCTCATACGCTGCACCGCACGCTCATACGCTGCACCGCCTGCTCATACGCTGCACCGCACGTTCGTACGATGCACCGCCAGCTCATACGCTGCACCGCTCGCTCATACGCTGCACCGCCCGCTCATACGCTGCACCGCCCGCTCATGCGCTGCACCGCCCGCTCATACCCTGCACCGCGCGCTCATGCGCTGCACCGCACGCTCATACCCTGCACCGCACGCTCATACGCTGCACCGCACGCTCATACCCTGCACCGCACGCTCATACCCTGCACCGCCCGCTCATACGCTGCATCGCAAGCTCATACGCTGCACCGCCAGCTCATACGCTGCACCGCCAGCTCATACGCTGCACCGCTCGCTCATACGCTGCACCGCCCTCTCATGCGCTGCACCGCCCGCTCATACGCTGCACCGCCCTCTCATACGCTGCACCGCCCGCTCATACGCTGCACCGCCTGCTCATACGCTGCACCGCACGCACATACGCTGCACCGCCAGCTCATACGCTGCACCGCCAGCTCATACGCTGCACCGCCCGCTCATACGCTGCACCGCCCGCTCATGCGCTGCACCGCCCGCTCATACGCTGCACCGCTCTCTCATACGCTGCACCGCCCGCTCATACGCTACACCGCCCGCTCATACGCTGCACCGCCCGCTCATACGCTGCACCGCCCTCTCACACGCTGCACCGCCCGCTCATACGCTGCACCGCCCGCTCATACGCTGCACCGCCCGCTCATACGCTGCACCGCCCACTCATACGCTGCACTGCCAGCTCACACGCTGCACCGCCCGCTCATACGCTGCACCGCCCGCTCACACGCTGCACCGCACGCTCATACGCTGCATCGCAAGCTCATACGCTGCACCGCCAGCTCATACGCTGCACCACCAGCTCATACGCTGCACCGCCCGCTCATATGCTGCACCGCCCGCTCATGCGCTGCACCGCCCGCTCATACGCAGCACCACACGCACATACGCTGCACCGCCCGCTCATACGCTGCACCGCCCGCTCATACGCTGCACCGCCAGCTCATACGCTGCACCGCCCGCTCATACGCTGCACCGCACGCTCATACGCTGCACCGCCCGCTCATACGCTGCACCGCCAGCTCATACGCTGCACCGCCTGCTCATACGCTGCACCGCCCGCTCATACGCTGCACCGCACGCTCATACGCTGCACCGCCAGCTCATACGCTGCACCGCACGCTCATACGCTGCACCGCCCGCTCATACGCTGCACCGCCCGCTCATACGCTGCACCGCCCACTCATACGCTGCACTGCCAGCTCACACGCTGCACCGCCTACTCATACGCTGCACCGCCCGCTCACACGCTGCACCGCACGCTCATACGCTGCATCGCAAGCTCATACGCTGCACCGCCAGCTCATACGCTGCACCACCAGCTCATACGCTGCACCGCCCGCTCATATGCTGCACCGCCCGCTCATGCGCTGCACCGCCCGCTCATACGCTGCACCGCACGCTCATACGCTGCACCGCCTGCTCATACGCTGCACCGCACACACATACGCTGCACCGCCTGCTCATACGCTGCACCGCACGCTCATACGCTGCACCGCCCGCTCATACGCTGCACCGCACGCTCATACGCTGCACCGCCCGCTCATACGCTGCACCGCCCGCTCATGCGCTGCACCGCCCGCTCATACGCTGCACCGCTCTCTCATACGCTGCACCGCCCGCTCATACGCTGCACCGCCCGCTCATACGCTGCACCGCCCGCTCATACGCTGCACCGCCCTCTCATACGCTGCACCGCCCGCTCATACGCTGCACCGCCCGCTCATACGCTGCACCGCCTGCACATACGCTGCACCGCACGCTCATACGCTGCACCGCCAGCTCATACGCTGCACCGCCCGCTCATACGCTGCACCGCCCGCTCATACGCTGCACCGCACGCACATACGCTGCACCGCCCGCTCATACGCTGCACCGCCCGCTCATACACTGCACCGCCCGCTCATACGCTGCACCGCCCTCTCATACGCTGCACCGCCCGCTCATACGCTGCACTGCTCGCTCATACGCTGCACCGCCTGCTCAGCTGCACCGCACGCTCATACGCTGCACAGCACGCTCATACGCTGCACCGCCAGCTCATACGCTGCACCGCACGCTCATACGCTGCACCGCCCGCTCATACGCTGCACCGCACGCACATACGCTGCACCGCTCGCTCATACACTGCACCGCCAGCTCATACGCTGCACCGCCCGCTCATGCGCTGCACCGCCCGCTCATACGCTGCACCGCTCTCTCATACGCTGCACCGCCCGCTCATATGCTGCACCGCCCGCTCATACACTGCACCGCCCGCTCATACGCTGCACCGCCCGCTCATACGCTGCACCGCCTGCTCAGCTGCACCGCACGCTCATACGCTGCACCGCCCGCTCATACGCTGCACCGCCCACTCATACGCTGCACCGCCAGCTCATACGCTGCACCGCCCGCTCATACGCTGCACCGCACGCTCATACGCTGCACCGCCAGCTCATACGCTGCACCGCCAGCTCATACGCTGCACCGCCTGCTCATACGCTGCACCGCCCGCTCATACGCTGCACCGCACGCTCATACGCTGCACCGCCAGCTCATACGCTGCACCGCACGCTCATACGCTGCACCGCCCGCTCATACGCTGCACCGCCCGCTCATACGCTGCACCGCCCACTCATACGCTGCACTGCCAGCTCATACGCTGCACCGCCCGCTCACACGCTGCACCGCACGCTCATACGCTGCATCGCAAGCTCATACGCTGCACCGCCAGCTCATACGCTGCACCGCCAGCTCATACGCTACACCGCTCGCTCATACGCTGCACCGCCCGCTCATGCGCTGCACCGCCCGCTCATACACTGCACCGCCCTCTCATACGCTGCACCGCCCGCTCATACGCTGCACCGCACGCTCATACGCTGCACCGCCTGCTCATACGCTGCACCGCACGCACATAGGCTGCACCGCCAGCTCATACGCTGCACCGCACGCTCATACGCTGCACCGCCCGCTCATACGCTGCACCGCCCGCTCATACGCTGCACCGCACGCTCATACGATGCACCGCCAGCTCATACGCTGCACCGCCCGCTCATACGCTGCACCGCCCGCTCATACGCTGCACCGCACGCTCATACGCTGCACCGCCCTCTCATACGCTGCATCGCCCGCTCATACGCTGCACCGCACGCTCATACGCTGCACCGCCTGCTCATACGCTGCACCGCACGCTCATACGATGCACCGCCAGCTCATACGCTGCACCGCTCGCTCATACGCTGCACCGCCCGCTCATACGCTGCACCGCCCGCTCATGCGCTGCACCGCCCGCTCATACGCTGCACCGCGCGCTCATACGCTGCACCGCACGCTCATACCCTGCACCGCACGCTCATACCCTGAACCGCCCGCTCATACGCTGCATCGCAAGCTCATACGCTGCACCGCCAGCTCATACGCTGCACCGCCAGCTCATACGCTGCACCGCTCGCTCATACGCTGCACCGCCCGCTCATGCGCTGCACCGCCCGCTCATACGCTGCACCGCCCTCTCATACGCTGCACCGCCCGCTCATACGCTGCACCGCACGCTCATACGCTGCACCGCCTGCTCATACGCTGCACCGCACGCACATACGCTGCACCGCCAGCTCATACGCTGCATCGCCAGCTCATACGCTGCACCGCTCGCTCATACACTGCACCGCCCGCTCATGCGCTGCACCGCCCGCTCATACGCTGCACCGCTCTCTCATACGCTGCACCGCCAGCTCATACGCTGCACCGCACGCTCATACGCTGCACCGCCCGCTCATACGCTGCACCACCCGCTCATACGCTGCACCGCCCGCTCATGCGCTGCACCCCCCGCTCATACGCTGCACCGCGCGCTCATACGCTGCACCGCACGCTCATACCCTGCACCGCACGCTCATACCCTGAACCGCCCGCTCATACGCTGCATCGCAAGCTCATACGCTGCACCGCCAGCTCATACGCTGCACCGCCAGCTCATACGCTGCACCGCTCGCTCATACGCTGCAC